AACGGACTTCGAGTCGCTGGTCGTGGCGGTGGCACGTTCCCACCCGACGCTGCATCTAGACCGCCTCGAGACTTTCCGCCAGATGACCCCGATGCCCGGCGAGAGTTACGTCAGTTTCGGCGGACGGATGCGCGACCAGTATGAGTCGTGCTTACAGTTCCCACCAGCGCTCCTACAAACCGGCGTTCCCTTTGTGGAGCACACGCTGATGGAGCAACTCATCAATATTTCGGAAGGCGGGCTGAAGGAGAAACTCCGCGAGGAATGGCTCAAAAATCGGGACCTGTCGTGGGACGAGTTCATCCTGTGCGCCGAGCGATACCGCGTTCTTCACCGGAAAGATCGCAAACCTACGACGACCAACGCCAGACCCAAAAAGGAAGGCCGATCCCTACCACCCAAGCAGAAATGTGAGTGGCACGGTTGTATGATGTGACATAGCACCGAAGACTGCAGGGGACGCATCGCAGCTCAAGGAGATTGTACGGATACGGCTGCGACAGTATCAGCGCAGTCCGGGACGAAAAAAGAACCTTTTGATGTGTCTAAAAATGCTTGTTTTCATTGTAATCAGAAGGGCCACGTAGCTCGCGACTGCCCTAAACAGCAGGGAAACGCGAAACAAGCGCAGTGAACGCGGCACACTGCGCTTCCTCGGACCTGCCCTCAGCGCCACTCCCGATCCTCCTGGACATCGCCATCGGATCAGCTTCGTGCCGGGCTCTCGTCGACACCGGAGCGTCCCATGCGTGCATCTCCCCCAGGTTGGTCGAAACGCTGAAACTCCCCACTCAACCTTTTTCTACCTCTGTTACTACCGTACTTTCGTCTTCCGCGACAAACGTCACTCAAGCAGTTACCAGTCCGTTCCGCTATGCGCCGCACTTAGTAAGCCCAAAAAAAGACCAAAACTTGCTCGGAAAGCTCGGGGGGTAACAAGAGCCAGCATGCGAGGACAGCGACAATGGCCAGTGGCACTGGTAACTACCGCTTGCGCAAAAGTCGGGATTTCAAACAATGATACGGCCGCAAGGGAAACCGGACCTCGAAACCGGACAGGGAATTTGTTTTATCGACGGAACACCGGACGAACGGTCTACGGTGCGCGACATTTTGTGCGAATTTCCGGCTCTCGTTTTTTAGTGGTCGGGGAAGCGTGGGTTGCTAACTGAACATGTGGTACACATTCCAACCAGCGAAGCCGCGCCCCCCGCAGTCCGCCCATTTCGGCAATCCGCGGAACGTAATGAACCTTTCACGCAAATTGTCGACCGGTACCTGCGCGACGGGATTCTCGAACCAGCCGCGTCTCCATACAATTCGCCAGCCTTTGTGATCCCCAAACCGGGCTCAAAACCCGACGATCCACTCTACAAGCGATGGCGAATTGTTGAAGACTATCGCGAGCTGAATAAATTAATCATTGCCGATAATTATCCGACACCGGTTGTCCAGGAGTTGCTAGACGCGCTCGGGCGCAATAACGCGTACTTCTGTACCATGGACTTACATTCGGCATTTCATCACCTGCCCCTAGCTCATGCAGATCGCCCCAAGACCGCGTTCCACACGCCTCGCGGGCAGATGCAATACAAGGTGCTGCCGTTCGGTCTGAAGACCGGACCGGCACTTTTCCAACGAGCAATTAATACGATCTTGCGTCAGCATCTTTTTATCAGGTGTTTAGCATATGCAGACGACGTTATAGTGTTCGGGGAATCTTTCGAGGCACTCTGCAACAACCTGCGCGCAGTGCTTAAGACCCTGTGCCGAGCAGGCGCCGCAATCGATATCACAAAGTCCAAATTCCTGGCCAAGCAAATTCTGTTCCTTGGGCATGAGATCGACCAAACGGGAACTCGCCCGGCAGAGAAAAACGTGACAGCGGTGCGCAACTACCCACGCCCAGAAACAACAAGGCAGATGCAGAGGTTCTTGGGGATGGCGACCTATTTACGGGCACACCTCCCCATGAACTTCGCAGAACAGGAACGAACGCTCCGCTCGATCATCCCAAAGAAGCCAGCGATACGCCTCTGCTGGAATGAGTCGGCCAACGCAGCCTTCAATTTCATCAAGGAGACACTCGCCGAGGCAACGAAATTGGAACGCATTGATCCACAGCTCCCTATCGAAGTCCACTGCGATGCGTCAGCCACGTGTCTCGGAGCGGTACTCGTTCAACGGGATGAACAGGATCAACCTCGTATCATTTCGTACGCTAGTCGAGTCTTGACGGATACGGAGACCAGGTATACGAATTCCGAACGCGAACTGTTAGCAATCGTTTGGAGTGTTACTAAAAAATTTCGACATCATTTAGAGTATCGTAAATTTACAGTGAGTACTGACCATAAGGCCTTGTTGGGAGTTTTACAGACAGAAAGACTTATCCGGCTGCAAAGTAAACTCGCATCTTTCGACTTCGAGCTCCTTTACAGACCCGGCAAAACTCTTCAAGGACCGGATGCACTCAGCCGAGTCGCGATCAATCAGATCGATGCTCGGGTTACGCCAGACCCTGCTGACCATGATCATATCATTGATTCTTATCATTTAGAATTAGGTCATGCAGGGTGGAAAAAAGTTTACGAGACGTTACGCGAACGCTTCCGATGGAAGACGTTACGACAGGACACGTGGAAACGGGTCATGGCTTGCCCTCTCTGTTTTCAATACAATGTACCAACACAGAGCATTGGCACGGAGCTGACGGCCCTGACATCCACCCGCCCTCGCAAAAGACTGACGCTCGACTTTTATGGACCGTTGCCGTTTACAAAAGAGAAGTATCGTTATGCAATAGTAGCTGTTGACCATTTTTCAAAATATATGATGACCCGACCGATACATCCACCCGCCCTCGCGAAAGACTGACGCTCGACTTTTATGGACCGTTGCCGTTTACAAAAGAGAAGTATCGTTATGCAATAGTAGCTGTTGACCATTTTTCAAAATATATGATGACCCGACCGATTTTAAAGGCGGACACTAAGACTGTTATTCCGTTTTTAACTGATGTTTTTCGACAATTCGGTGTGTTTGATATTATCCACACAGATTGTGATTCCGTGTTCCGGGCAAAAGTGTTTAAATGGTTCCTTAGAGATAACGGGATACAACAGCACGTTGCACAAGCATCCCACAGCGAGGGCAATGGATGCTGCGAACGAGCTATCCGTTCACTCATGACCATCCAAGCCAAAGCAGTCCAAGGGCACGACGACCAATGGGCCGAACATCTCGCCGAATCGGTTCAGGCATATAATCATACGATTCATTCATCCACAGGGGTCATGCCGAGCGAAGCAATGTTTGGAACTCCAACTCAGTTGGAAGCGGACAAACTATTCCAGGCACCGGACCGGGACATCTCGGAGAAACTTAGCCAAATTCCTCAGCATAACGAGAAGGCAAGCACGGCATTTATTCAGCAGGCCAGCAAGAGCAAGTCGCGACATTTCCAACCAGGAGAACTCGTCGCCATCCGCCCCCGTCTGGCCAGTACGGAACATCATGCCGCCGATCGCCGTTTCAGAGTACAGAAGCTGGGACCGTTCATGATCATATCCTACCGCGGGGAGGGCGAGTATTGGGTTGGCACCGATAAGGAGGTACGCCGAGCAAACGCGTGGGAACTCGTACCGTTCAGGGGTCTACCGCGACCCCCCGAACCCGGGTTCGAAGCCCACATGCCTATTATCCCGGCACCACCCCGCGAAAAGGGCGCCCAAACTACCTCGGACCATTCCTATGCCCAACCAATCGCCTTGCAACCGCCACCTGAAGTTACGAACACGCGACTCGATCACCCGTATGGGCAACCGGCGCACCCAGCCCCAATACGCTCGAAGGGACGGAAAAAGCAGTCGTTCGCGCGTCCCAAGTAACCCTGCCCGGCGCTCTTGCATTCTCTTTTCTCTTATCTCCATCTCTTTTTCTGGAGTTTGGGGATAACGCTTCGACAGGAAACCTTTGGGTTTTGTCGTGGACTCGGACACGAGTTTTTTTTAAAGGGGGGAGAGTAAGTCCATGTACTTACGTCACGAAGTGACATCTAGCGGACGAATCCTGGAACCACTCCACACGTCCTGAGAGCCCACGCACTTGAGCTTATCGGATGGCTGATCAGCGGAGTCTCGGGAGCGGANAGGATAGATGCACAGGGTTGTATTGGTTCTTCACAAGTAACTTTCCTTTTACACAACAGTAGAAGCTAAGACACTCGGCGAGGCGGCGTAGTCGGAGATGCTGAGTGTCGAACAGTTCAGTCAAGAGTGACCCGCGTTGTCCTTTTCGCGCGCTTATGTGCTTGTTGTCTTGACCCTCAGTCCCGTTAGGTTCTCTTGTGGTTTTGCGGCGGATGTTGTTCCCGGTTGGGGACCGTTAGGTTCTCTTGTGTGTGTTGTCGGATGTTTTTCCCGGTTCGGCTTAGGGTCGCGTCCTTGTCCTTTTATGCGATCTGTTGGGGGAGATAAGGTTGGAGTTAATGTGCTTTTGGTGTCTTTGTTGTTTTCGAGATGGATATCTCTGACTGTAGTGCGGTACAGTCATCTAAATGTCATAGCCAGAACACGCAGATTGTTTCCTTCTATTGCATATACAGTACAGTATTAGCTGTACATAACCCCATTCTTGTCAATATTTACTGAGATATTGAATTGCATTTATATTTTACCTGAATTAATCCCATACATTATCTGTACAGTATTAATTAAAAATGCCATTAAAGCGACGCCGGGTTGTTCAATTCTCCTTCCTCGAAAGGTACGGACCGTCGTTGTACGCATTTTCTGTAGGTTCTCGAAGTGCAACATTGCTTATTCCACGAGGGAGATGATTATTGATGATTATTGTAGCTTAAAGCTCGTGAATTACGGGTTCTTTATCTTGGAATGCAAGTGATTTTCTGCGTTTGCTCAAACTTCTGAACAACGCTTCTCTCTGAACTCAGTGAACTGTGTAATGGTACTGATAAATGTGTGCAGCGAATTGTTTCTGTATTGCAGGTGTTCTATGCTACAATCATGAGTTCTCCGCGATTTCCTACTTAATTGCGCTTGAGATTGGTTCGCCGTGTAAAACGCATCTACGGCTCGTCGCGATGTCGCATTCAAGTCGTGTAACCTTCGGCCCGAGTGGCAAACTGAATCTGGAAAATATCTTGAACGTGGAACCTCTTTCGGACGTGACGATCATCTGTTCAGAAGGCGCTGAAAAAGTGCACGCACACTCGTCCGTCTTGTCCCAAGCCTCCATTTTCCTCAAGGATCTGTTGACGAACTCAACATGTTGTTGCCAGTCGAAAGTCGTATTCCTCCCGCAATGGCACTCCCGTCATCTGATCCATTTATTGCAACTCGTCTATCTCGGGGAAGTCGAGCTGTACTCCGCAAAGGAGCTGGAAGAGCTTTGCAAGCTCGGACGACTCCTTGGGATAGAGATCAATCGATGGAACCTAGAGGAGTACTCCGTGCCCGAAGTCACGATCGAGTCCCCGCCGCAAACCCTGCCCGACACTGACCAGGAAGGTTTCCTGGACCTGTTCGACAATCCTCCACCATTTGCGGATATAGACCTACCTCCGAAATCGTTCGTGAAAAACGAACCGCGTGACGAGTATGATGACGATTGCGTGATTGTGGGAGTAACTCCGTCGTCGAAACCAGCTATCAACCCGAGCAATAATTCGTTACTACGGACTGTGAAACGCGAGTTGGATGAAAAGCCGCTGCGTGTAGTGTCTTTACCGCGAAACAGCGGCCATTCCGTGACGTCGGATTACGCTTCGATAAGCAATTGTAGTCCGAAATCGTTGGAAAGCGGGTACAGTAAAAGCATCACTGGTAGTGGCTCTGTTTCTAATACCCCGTCCCATAACATTCCTTCGGAAGATGACGAGGACTTCGAAGACTTTTTATCGAGTCGGCGTCAATATCAGGTCAGATCGGAATTACTGTATATTTTTATCCGTACGCTGTGATTCAATTTCCCGAGTGTCTTATCGATCATCAGGCCGAAATAAGGAAGTTGAATGGTGGAATGAAGCGGGGTTTTCCGTGTTTCGAGCGGTCAAGTCCTGGCAACTCGGATTCGCAGCTTGGGTTCGACCCGACAGATGAGAGTGTTCCTCCTGTTCTACGATATTTTGAGGTAATGTTGCTGAAGTGACCTGAAGAGTCTTCGGAAGTCCCATTGATTGCTACCCTGTGTGATTTTTTATATGCATGCCTTGTTCACGTGCAAATGTTTTGAAGTCTTCATGACGAATCTTGTGTCCGAGGGGGCGAATCCGTAGTTTTGGGTCGTAGTCCTGTTGAGTGTTAGTTTCTTGGCTTCCGTCTCGATCAAATGCTCAGACTTGATTGAATCGATCAAGAGACTGAACAGAACTTGTTTCTAAGTCTCTGAACGACTAATTCAAGTCTGAAATGTGGTTTGATGGACTGGGGCTGCGGAGGAAGAATTATGTTGTTCAATTTGGTGCTCTTCGTGTCGGATTGTAACGATTTTTTCTCGTATATTGCAGGATGAAGAGCGGAAAGCGGCCGTGCTGAAGGCCATATCCGAAAACCGTCACCCGGGTTTGGCGGGAAAGCTGCCGAAGATGAACACTCACGACATCGTCGACTCTGGCGTGGAATTTGCAACCTGCGAAATGTGTCGGATTCGCGGGAAAGGCATCCCGACGACGCACGTGTGTCGCGAATGCGTCGTTCCTTTACACGATTGCTGCTCTCGAAGCTACCACGACCACGTTGGCATCCCGACTACTGGGACCTAGTGACCAGCCAGTCTGTGGGTTGTCAATCGCGAAAACGACTCTTCTCTGTGTGTGTGTTTGGGTGTGGGAATGGTGTGTCATCTACCTGTAGGTCGTTTTTGCCGCTAATCCTTCATGTGAGTTGCTCTTTCATAAGTTTCCCCCCCGATACACGTGCTCTAGTTTTTGGAATGCTTTGAATTGACATTTCGAGGATATTATTTGTCTGTTATTGTTCACTTTCCCACCGAGAATTTCACCGAAACGGGAGTTTTTCCACGTTTAATGGGCAAAAAGTTACATTGTGTTTTTTTCTAGAATTTAATAAAAGTTAACGGAGCCAAATCTAACTGTAGAACATATTTTTTTCTCCTCATTTTCCACTTTTTGGCGTTGATGCTTTGAAACATCAAGTGATCCCATGGAAAAGTGTTGAGATTTTTGGCAGATTCTATTTATACTACTGAGTACAGTGGGTCCTTGAGCAACAAACATCTCGCATAACGAACCAAGATTTGGAGACCATTTTGCCATAAGCAGCGAATTTGACTGGAAGAAAAAATTTGAATTCAAAGAGGAAACGAGAAAAAGTTGTTCGCAGATTTTGAAAATTTTACAATTTTATGACGATTCATTCCCGAATGAGAAACGGAAATGAGGATTAAGAGTGTAATTCATGGTCAAATTAAAAATCCTGAGAAAATTTTGATTTTCTTCGCGCTTCTAAGTGTGCGTGTTTTTAATAATGTACAATTAAAGCTCATTAGTTATTAATGTTTTCTGTGCATTCGGTCTGTTTTTTTTTAAGCTCGTTTTCTTTGTTCTACTTGTATAATTTTCCTACTCGGGAACCAGTTGAACGATTTTCCAGAGGTTACGATGGGAAATTGTGCCTTGCATGAAGAACGCTTTGAACACTGAAGAAACCTCTGAAACTGATCAGGTTTGTTGCTCAGGGCCCCACTGTATATTAATCAATTCCTGCTGGTAGATGGCACAAAATTACGGCACCTTGTGTGGTTTGTGTGTTCTTTTTCTGTTTTTTGAGTTTCGCGAAAAGGGACGTCGACAATTTTTTTTTTTTTGACGAATAAGAAAAAATATGACCGTTTCAGGAACTGCCCAGATTACGCAAACGTGAGACCTCATGGTTATACGTATGTCACCAACGTTGTGATAAGTTTGAAAGAGATTTTTTTCCTCGAGTTTTTGCTTTAAGGAAGAGGAGGAATTTTAGGGTGTTTTTGGACTGCGTGAAGAGAGAAGAAACCAATGTATCCGAAAACGTGGACAAAGGAACAAAGAAATGCGTTTTGAAACCTCTCCGAAGTGCCCGGAGGCTAGTCAAGCGGTCGACAACTCATCAGTGTTTTTAACGTTTTATTTCTAGTTGTGTATATTTAACAAAGAAGTTGGTTGAGTTTCTCAATTTGTCGAAAGTGGGACGAAAACATTTTGTTTTTTTTTTTTAGCTGCCTTTTCTGCTAGAGGAGGGAACCCTGAGTTTCAGATTAAATGCTGCACAATTTAATTGAAACTTGGTACATTAATTATCTCGAAGATTTAAAAAATTATATTTCAATGATTCTTTCAACTTATTTGCTCGAGATGATGCGGAGAACCGAATTTTCTTCTTTTATTTTAATTGCACGACGAAAGGATCCTGTGTGTCTTTCAGGATAGCGGATCTTTTACCATTAAATGAACCCTTTTTACAAAAATATTCTTAAGATTATGAATTCACTCAATTTTTGCCAAGTCTCTTGACTGTCCTAAGTTTGAGTATCACTATAAATGTTGACGAAGTACAGTCTAGGAATAATTTCCGCATTTATATTCGTGTGACCTGCTTTTATTTTAATCTCCTGTCAGTAAGTTGTCTTTGTTCCCGAATTATTGAACATGGTTTGGAAAACGCGGGGTAAAAACATTAAATCTATCGAATTTAAAATTATTAAGTCGAATAGGTTTATTTGTGAGAGCTAATTCTGCAGAAAAGGTAGATTTTGCAGGCGTCTGCAAGAAAGAAAATGATTTTAAATGTGTTAACTACAGTGGAAAGTTCTGATGGTGTTGATTAGAGTTCAAATTGGCCATTAAATCTGAATCAGGTTCAAATTTTAGGGAAAATGGATATTAACTTGAAAATATGAGAATCCGATGTGGTACAGGTGGTACCTTGCAATTTGACCCTAATCCATTGCCAAACTAGGGTCAAATTGCAGGGCACTCCATGAAATTTTAAAATATTAGTTTAAAATACAGAAAAGGGCAAAAGCATGTAAAATTGTGAGGTAAGGGTTGAATTGCAAGTCAACATCCCTGCAAATTTGACTGTCAAATTGTGGGATGTTCAAATTGTGAGGTACCACCTGTATTGGCCACCATGGAAAAAAAACTGGAAAATGCCAATATTCTGCACAGTAAAACCTTGAGAAGCCACCATCATTTGCTTGTGAGGTTTGCTGCTGTTTAATTGGATTGGTGGTTTGTAAAATAGAAAAAAGGAAATATTAAAAATAAAGTGTAATTGGAAATAAAATTCTTATTCTTCTGGAAAACAATCAAAATAATCCTGGGATGTGTAAACAATATCTTGCTAATTTTCCCTGAAAGTAAACTATGTAATTTTGTGTATGTGTGTTTTCACTGTGGACCTCCCCCATAAACTTGAATTTTGTTTGGCAAGGTATCAAGAATGGAATTTATTGTCAGAAGCATACAGGTGGTACCTCACATTTTGACCCTAATCCATTGCCAAACTAGGGTCAAATCACAAAATTGGTTGAATTTTGAGACACCCTGTCAAATTCAAAATATAGGTACAAAAATGGAAAAAGCAGGTTGAATTGTGGGGCAAGGGTCAAATTGCAAGTCAACCTCCCTGCAAATTTGACTGTCAAATTGCAGGACAGTTGACTTGTAAGGTACCACCTGTACTTGAATTGTCCATACTTTTGGTGGAATGCGTTTTAACAAGGTTTCCAATTGTATTATAATTAGGGAAGATTCTTTTTTTTTTTGAAAATAAATAGTGGCTTCATAACATGGGTTTGACTGTAGTGTAATTTAAAGTCACTATTTCGAGTTCTCGCGATTAATAAATGAAACCCGACTCTGCAAGCATAAACTACAAAGATATTTATTTCAAAACGAGTGGCAGTATTTGTTGACAAAGAGTCGATCAAAATCTTTTTACTCCAAAGAGGGCATTTTTTGGAGTTCCTTTTTTTTTTGTGTGTGTCTCCTTTTGTTCAATTCAGTTACTGACGCGCTGTGTGGGAAAAACAAAACAAAAAAAACGTTTCTCATTCGCATTAGAGTTACGAATGATTGGGAAACCCTCGAGTACAAAAGGGCGGAGTTGAGTGCACTTGAAAAAGAAAAAAGTGTATTTGCAAGAATTGCGAGCGTGCGGTTTTTTGTTTGTTTATTTTATGTCCTCCGAAGAAGAAAAAAGAAAATGCGCTTATTTGAAATGTTTTACGCTTTCCAGACGAGTTGGATGAATTACAAATTGTGTCCCCCCGCCTTTAAAAAAAAAAAACAAGGGTTTTTTCCGTACTCAGGGAAACGGGACGGTTTCCCGTCAACAAAAAAAATCACGACGGTTGCGAGTTGCCTTAGCGTTGGAAACGAGAAAAGCAAGAAATTTTTTTTTATGACCAGGGTTTTCTTCTTGTGTCTCTTTTGAGTGTACATATTCGGACAGAGTTTGGAAAGAGAGAGAAAAAGTAATAATAATTGGGGGAAGGCGATTGCCTTGAGGATCCACTGCCAAGAGAATCATGGGGCCCAGGTCAATGTTTTTTTTTTTTTTGGGGGTTTTTTGAAAAGAAAAACGCTTCTTTTTTAATTGGAAATCGAGACACGCTTGAAGTGGTTGTCATGCGAGGAATGTTCGCGATGTGGGGGGAATTTTTTAGGGGGTTTTTGATTGTGTGTGGACTTGCAGTTGTATTGATTTTACTATTATTATTATTATTATCCCGTATCACGCTGGATGATTGAACGACGCAGATTTTCTTGAATTAAATTCGCGTTTTTATTAGTGAGTTGTATTTCATTTGGAGCCTGTGCCGATTTTCAGTGCAGTATAAGCAGACCTGATTTGCCCATTTAGTACGCATCCCAATTTATTGTCCTTCCTAAAGAGATTAATTTAATTTCAAGCTCTTTCACATGGTCATATTGTATTGAATAAAAATAAATGAAAGAAAATGCCTTGAAACAATGGGAACTATTTTCAACTTTATTGAGAACATCAGAAAGTCTTTTTTGATTGTATTAATGTATTCCAAGTCCCTTAAAAATGTTAATGGAAAATTATTGCCAAAATAAATTGTAGCCTTTGGATGGCAGAGGGTTCCTGGCCACTCTGCAGAAAAGTTGGGATTTTTTTGGAAGGAGGAGCATTNTAATGTATTCCAAGTCCCTTAAAAACGTTAATGGAAAATTATTGCCAAAATAAATTGTAGCCTTTGGATGGCAGAGGGTTCCTGGCCACTCTGCAGAAAAGTTGGGATTTTTTTGGAAGGAGGAGCATTTAAGTTTGACCAAGGGTCACTGAAATGACCCAAGTTGGCAGAAATTCTGGATGCAGGAAATCCCCCATTTTAATCCTATAGAATGCATGACAAAATGCCACTCAGTGATGATTTTTTTTTTAGGCCAACATTTTCCGCAGGATTATAAAAAATATTGGAATTGTCCCTGACTTGGTTCAAGAATTTGATTTTTTAATTTTTGAAGGGAACAAAATTTGGCAAAAACATCCTGACTTAGCTGCACAAGGGTTTAGATCCATACAAATGCAAGAAAGTGTCTTAAAAAGTGGAAAAAAATTCTATACAACTGAAAACAGGAACTATTTTCAGTAATTATTGTGGTGGTTGGATTTCCCTTGCCAGAATTGCCATGGTGCACCCTTCTTTCAAACAGATGGGCTTGTATTAAACATTTAAAATAGAAGTTGTCAGCATATGATTTCATGTCAGAATTATTGCAGTTGGTCCCTTAATGATGACATTTTTCTGTGATTTAAGAAAGACACTTCAGCAGAACTGAAATGCTCCCTGAAAGTAAAACATGTCAGCTTGAATGTGATCCCATCAAGGAATGCTAGGCACTATATACAAAGGGACAACAATCATGGTTATTTATTTTTTGTAGCTCATACATTGGTTTTGAGTGTGTTAATTTTCAAGTTTCTTGACATTTTTTCAGACCAAGTCAGAATTTTGTGCATCCATGGGTTTTTGTGCTGTGAATATGGCACCTAAGAAATGCGCTAGAAAATCACTTTCAATTGAAAGGATGAAAGAGAGTATCCAGAAGAGAGAATCTGGAGCCAAACTGAAGGAAATAGCAGAATATTATGGTGTGAAAATCTCCACAATTGGAAGTATTATGGCCATGAAAGATGCCATTATGAAAGATAAAGGAGTTGCCCGCATTTAGAAGGTCAGGACTTCAACTCATGAGGAAATGGAAAGGTTTCTTGTGATTTGGATCAATGAATGACAGTTGAAAGGGGAAATCACCTCAATGAGTAGTATTATAGAAAAGGCTAAAATCATCTTTGAAGACCTCAAGGCAGCCTATCAGAGTCAGATGGCTGGACCTAGTTCTGGTCTGGAAAACTTTCAAGGGCAGCAGGGGATGGTTTCATCCCTTCAAGAAAAGGTTTGTTATTATTTGAATAACAATATCAAACTGGGTTTATTTTCACATATGTTTTCTTTCCTGCTGATTGACTGCAACAGGTGTGGGATCTACAATGTTATGATGAATGAAGAGGCTGAAAGTNTATTGTCCTTCCTAAAGAGATTAATTTAATTTCAAGCTCTTTCACATGGTCATATTGTATTGAATAAAAATAAATGAAAGAAAATGCCTTGAAACAATGGGAACTATTTTCAACTTTATTGAGAACATCAGAAAGTCTTTTTTGATTGTATTAATGTATTCCAAGTCCCTTAAAAATGTTAATGGAAAATTATTGCCAAAATAAATTGTAGCCTTTGGATGGCAGAGGGTTCCTGGCCACTCTGCAGAAAAGTTGGGATTTTTTTGGAAGGAGGAGCATTCAAGTTTGACCAAGGGTCACTGAAATGACCCAAGTTGGCAAAAATTCTGGATGCAGGAAATCCCCCATTTTAATCCTATAGAATGCATGACAAAATGCCACCCAGTGATGATTTTTATGGCAATATTGTCTGCAGGATTATAAAAAAATATTGGAATTTTTCTTGACTTGGTCCTTGGTTCAAAAATTGGATTTTTAATTTTTGAAGCTCATGGGAACAAAATTTTGCAAAAATATCCTGACTTTGCTGCACAAGGGTTTAGATCTATACAAATGCAAGAAAGTGTCTTAAAAAGTGGAGAAAAAAAATTCTATACAACTGAAAACAGAAACTATTTTCAGTAATTATTGTGGTGGTTGGATTTCCCTTGCCAGAATTTCCATGGTGCACCCTTCTTTCAAACAGATGGGCTTGTATTAAACATTTAAAATAGAAGTTGTCAGCATATGATTTCATGTCAGAATAATTGCAGTTGGTCCCTTAATGATGACATCTTTCTCTGATTTAAGAAAGACACTTCAGCAGAACTGAAATGCTCCCTGAAAGTAAAACATGTCAGCTTGAATGTGATCCCATCAAGGAATGCTAGGCACTATATACAAAGGGACAGCAATCATGGTTATTTATTTTTTGTAGCTCATATATTGGTTTTGAGTGTGTTAATTTTCAAGTTTCTTGACATTTTTTCAGACCAAGTCAGAATTTTGTGCATCCATGGGTTTTTGTGTTGTGAATATGGCACCTAAGAAATGCGCTAGAAAATCACTTCCAATTGAAGTGAAGAAAGAGAGTATCCAGAAGAGAGAATCTGGAGCCAAACTGAAGGAAATAGCAGAATATTATGGTGTGAAAATCTCCACAATTGGAAGTATTATTGACTTTTTGAGGCCATGAAAGATGCCATTATGAAAGATAAAGGAGTTGCCCGCATTTAGAAGGTCAGGACTTCAACTCATGAGGAAATGGAAAGGTTTCTTGTGATTTGGATCAATCAATGACAGTTGAAAGGGGAAATCACCTCAATGAGTAGTATTATAGAAAAGGCTAAAATCATCTTTGAAGACCTATCAAGGCAGCCTATCAGAGTCAGATGGCTGGACCTAGTTCTGGTCTGGAAAACTTTCAAGGGCAGCAGGGGATGGTTTCATCCCTTCAAGAAAAGGTTTGTTATTATTTGAATAACAATATCAAACTGGGTTTATTTTCACATATGTTTTCTTTCCTGCTGATTGACTGCAACAGGTGTGGGATCTACAATGTTATGATGAATGAAGAGGCTGAAAGTGTAGGCAAGGAAGCAGCAGCTATGTTTGCTGAGGAGGAGTTGCAGGCATTTCTTCAAGATGAGCACAGTGACATCAAAAGGGAAGAATCATCAGATGAGTTTGAGGATCAAGAAGGGGAGAAACCAATCATCTCCACTGCTGTGATAGAAGACATCTTGACAAAGTGGGAAGATTTGAAAGAATTGGTCAATTGCCATCTTCCCAAGCAAGCTGAAACAAACAGGGCATCTGATCTTTTTGAGGAAACCAACATCCATCCCCTAAGACAGATGCTGATGTAGAGAGAAAAACAAAGCAACCTTGAAAGTTTATTGAAGACTGTGTCTCATGATCAGAAGAAAGCAAATCAACATTTTCCTCCAGAGATAGATGCACAAATCAACAGTTTCTTGGACTTGAAAAAAGAAACTGCTGAAGAGTTCTTGAGTGTAGAACTGTTGGTGTGAATTTGTTTGAATTCCGCCATTTATGGTGTGAATGCATTTTTGTGACAATCAATTTTGACTTAGAATAAGTATTTTTTTTACAATGGCATCTAAATGAAAATTTTGCTCTGTTGAAGGAAAGTTTTGCACTAATGAGTGATAATAATCAGTGATCTCTTTTCACTCTCATTGATTGTGGAAAATTTTCACATATGAAGATCCAATTGAAGAGCATACTTATTATTGAACTTATGCTTGAACTCTCTTGTGTAAAATAGGATTGGTGTCCAATATACTTGTATGCACAATTTCCCAGAAAGAAAAAAATAATTTCAACATGAAAAATTTCAATCTCAAGGATAAACTGGATGAATTCTATGTACTTAAGCAGTGTTGCAAAAGAAGGTTACCGCGTTGCCTTGACAATAAAGTTCAGATATTGGACGTTTGTGGATTCCACGCATATTGAGAACACTTATGGCAGCACAAAACGGCGAAGCCAGTAACAGTTCAGAATTGCTCGAATTTTGCTCTGTAATTTCTGAAAAAAAATTGATTTGGATTAATTTAGGATAAAATATTTTGTTCATCTGGAAAAAAGGCGTACCTGCTTCAGATTTCGGCAAGGAAATGTATTCCTCTGAAGAGAATTTACGTCAATATGTATCCCCACGGACGGTTCCTCATACTTCCCCAGTTTTTAACCGTGACGCGACGTTATGGGTTTCTGCGGATGTGAGAAATTTGTTTCTCCGACAAAGCTTGCCTTTTGGAATGTGGTGAAATATTTCTAAAATTCTGTGATAGAAGTGTAATGATGCATTGATATTGATATTCTTCCCTGCATTCGATAGTGTGATTGTGAGTGATACTCGAACATGCGAGCTCCACCGCTTAGTGCGATCCTCGCGTTTTCTCTCGGGTTCTTGGTGCTTAGCTCAAACTGTGACGAAGATGATTCTGAAAAGCCAAAGAAGCTTCAAATAGGCATTAAGAAGCGTGCCGATACCTGTCCCACGAAGTCTCGCAAAGGGGACTTGTTGCACATGCATTATTCGGTGTGTATAGTCTGAGAACTTTTCCGAAAGAATGTCAGCTTTGACGATGGTGTTCGGTGATGTTGTCTTAGGGATCTCTGGAAGATGGTAGTATCTTCGATAGCAGTTACGAGAGGAAGGAACCTTTGACTTTCACCCTAGGCATGGGACAAGTCATCAAAGGATGGGATCAGGGATTGTTGGGGTAAGTTTCATCGTGATGTTCTTTCGTCTAAATTTGTTATCGCTTGTTTATTGGTGGGAACCTGTGGGGCATTCGAGTTTCCAATCGCACCGCATGAGTTCGCGCTGAGTCTCTCATGAACCTTGTAAGACAAACTTCACGAGTTCGTTGGTATTCTCAGAATCTGACTATTGGCTCTGTAAGCATTGATATCTGTGAATGATTAGTGAAGAAAACTGCTCTCTGGTTTGAAGCATTAAGGGTTGGTGATTATTGTTTCAGAATGTGTGAGGGAGAGAAACGGAAGCTGGTGATCCCTTCATCGCTGGGTTACGGAGAATCTGGTGCACCTCCAAAAATCCCTGGTGGTGCGACGTTGATTTTTGAAGTGGAGCTGGTCAAAATCGAACGTCGCAACGAGCTTTGATTCCATCTAGATACGGGTTTTTTCTGTTATTTCCGAAATTTTGTCAACTTTCAGTTTGCGAATGAAATGATGCGAAGCGGCTCTGAATTCTCTTTATTTTCGAATCTGGCCTGTGGAGTTGGAAGTGCGACTGAATTGTTTAACTTAGCTTCCGTGATATTCAAGTGTGACTTTTCTTTTGCAACGGCGCATGATCTTTGTTTTCTGCAAGTTTTCCGTGAACCAAACCCTTGAAAGCGTGAGTGAAAAAGGAAGTCGTCGACTTTTTTCCTGCGGAGCAGTATTCCCTGTGACCCTTCATTGAAATTTGTTTTTTGCTCAGGAAATGGAATCCGTAAAATAATAGAGATTATTTGGCAATGGTAAGCCCTTCGCATCCAAACACATGAAGGCCGCAAAATCTTCGTACTCTTCATGAATATTCTCCAGTGTATTTCTATCATGTGTGGAAAAATTGTCTTGGAGGTGGCAGAAGAAGCTGTCTCAAGGTTTTCCAGATTTTTGTTTCTTCTAAGAAAATAATCCCTGATCTTAGTGTATGCAACCTGCTACTGATCCAAGATGGAGGCAACTACAGTATAAAAAGTATCAATTGGTGCCAATGGGTGTTTTTCCTCCATCTGTGAGGAAATATTCCAGCTTGAATTTGACAGCAATATACATGAAAACTAGACAATCCTGGGATTGAAAACCAAAGCAGGAAATCGTGTGAAAATCAATGGACGCTTCCCAACAAAATTATCAGAGATTTCTGGTTAGTTATGCCCTTACATTGATTTAACCTCTTCCTTAAACATATCCGTTTAACTGTTGATCTATTGTCTAAATTGGCCATTTGACCTTTATTGGTTTTTGTGGAAGGAAATTGCAGAAAGCATGGCTGAGTCACCAGGTTCATCAAGTGATGAGGAGAAGTTGATTGGGAAGTGCTGCAAATCTGATGCCTTTGAAGAAGAAAGTGTTCGCGAGATTTTTTTGAGGTACACTGTGTTCATAGGGGTGGTCCATCCACAAAATCATCAACTATCTTATGGATTTTTCAGAGAGAAATTTAAATTAATGTGATTAAAGGACTACTGATTTTGGGATTATTCATACAGCAATAACATATGTTTTTTTCACCTGACACAGGAGATGGTATCTTTTCATCTGTGAGGATTTTTTTAAATATATGCTTGCCAAAATTTTCAGAATTTTTGGAGCTATTACTAATTGTGCTCAAATTGATTATCTGATTTGAATTGTTTAATGTTTCACTTTTTTGAAGGCAGATAATTCCTACAAAATTTTGTTATGACAATTTTATCCTAGCCCTTGTGAATTTTTCATGGGTGCCTTATTACAAAATATAATTGTAACAAACACATTTTAAGCTGTTATCTCAGTCTAGCAAAATTTTGGACATAATTCTGTGCATAGGCCAGAGGGATTATTTTATATTTGACATAAAAACAGGAAAAGCTGACTTGAGCAGCATTACAATCTACAACTTCATCACAAAGAGAAACTTTCTTGAAAGATAATTTAATGCTAAAATATATAGCACTACTTAGACATGTTTGCAGAAAATTGTTCAGCTTTTTTAATAATGTATGCCTTTTTTCAAATGCACAGCATTAAATTTAAAATGATTTTTCCTTAAAATCCAAGAAAAAACACATATTATTGACGTTGCATGGTACTTCAGATGGAAGTTGTTCTACCACATGTGCAATTGTCTCATTTAATTTTTTTTCAGGAAAGCAGGTTCTAAATAAGAGAAGCACTCTATTCTCAGTCTGTTCCCTATTAAATTTATCAGAAAGATGACTCCCCAGGAAAACTGTACTGCATCTGTGAATGCTTCAATGACATGTCCCTTTAAGGTACAGTATATATATGGATGCATCCAAAGTCATGAACGTTTTAACCCTGAGGATGCAGTATGCATTCAAACAGTGTCTTGAAATAACACATTTTTTGCAATGAATTATTCATCTGGTCCTTGCAAGTTTGTTGTAATCAAGATTTGCAGAATTCAGGAAGTGTTCTCCATTGCCAAATTCACTTTTCAGTGGATTTTCCTTTGTGATTTGAGCAGTTTTATCTTCTCATGGTGAAAATGCCATGCATTTCTGTTCATAAATGTGACATGCCCATTTTTATCAGTTATTTCATTGAATACACCCAAGTTTTGAATAATTAATTTTTTATAGAGTTGAACATATAGTATCTAAGTTGAATTCCAAGGGACCAGCAAAAAAATTTACTTGAGGAGGTTTTGATTCAGGTAGCTTCAAGTTAGGGAAATGAGAAATTGTGTTGTGGGCAATTAAGAAAAATTTCAGGAAATTGCAAATGATGATATTCTGGGTCTTGAATTGATTCTTGAATGAGGTTACAGCATGCTGAACTTGGAAGTGGGGGTTAATTGGCCAAATTAGTCTTTCACGTCCTTTTGAAACATGTCAAGTTACATTTTTATCACTAAAATATGGTAATTGGCAAAAGGCCCTAGAAAATTTGACTTAGAGTGGTTTTAGAGAAAAGCCTTCAAGTCAGGGAAATTTTTAATGCATGGTTTCCAAGGGAATTCAGACAGGGACTTGAAGAAAATGGACTTAGAGAGGTTTGAGTTATCAAGGTTCAACTGTAAGAAGTAATGACCAAGGCTACCACTGCATTTTATAAATCAAAATACAAGTTGATAGGAACAGATCTTTTATGCCATTGTTGTTTCAAGTATACCCCAATTCATTGAGCTAGTTTTTTTCCATTTCAAAAGTATTCTCATTTCAGAAATGTTCAATTCTTGTACTCATTATTTTGATAGATAATTTAAGGCCCCATTGTTTTTCTAAACCCATGCTTGAATGTTATGGACATTTTTTGTTTCTGATGTGTTCATACAGTATTAGTGCATATACAGTACTTGAATGCATTGGGTTATTTAGTTTTACAACTACTGTACTGTACACTCATTTTTGTTGATTAGTTTGTAAACTTTTTGGGCAATGAACTTCCCTCTGGATAGCTCTAGTTGATCAACTAAAATGAACACTAATTTTTTAGATTTGAGGGGGGATCTTTTGAGTTGGTGAGCTTTGTGACACATTGTTTCTAAGAGGATTTCGATAGGGACTTGAGAAAAATTGAACAAAGAAGTTTTGAGTTTCTGAGGTTCTGTAATTGAAAATTTGCAGAATTCAAATTTAATTCATGTCAAAATTCAAATTTAATTCATGTCAATATTCAAATTTGAATGTTCTTTCTCAAATTTCAATTTGAATGTTCTTTCTCCAATTTAAATTTGAATGTTCTTTCTCCATGTACTGAGGTTCAAATTGTAAAGTGAGACCACAAGATGCAGACATAATTGGTGCATCAAGAGTGTCCCTGAGTCAAGTCTCATTTTCCCTTAGACTTACATTTTATAATTTTCAATTGGTGTTTTATGGACAAAATACTCACCATAATTCCATGAAAATAAAAATTGTCTCCCAATTGAAACTGATTCAATCAATATATTTCAACACAGTATATACATTTGGGGAATTGGATACTGATACCTCTGTACAGTTCATATAAATGTCAGCATTCTCTGTAAAAAAATAACATTCAACTGAAAAAGAGAGAAGGAAGTCCCTCTATGCTGGAGGGACTTTTTTTAAATTAGCTAAATGGATGGTAAATGGTGAGATAAATGCCCATGAACTTTTATTACATCAATTTTAGGGTTGGAAATATCTGTTTCTTGTAATTTGTCCTGAAACTTATTTGAAATTTTATCACAAAATGTCCCTATGTTGAGTCAGTGTCCTTGTGTCTGGCCTTTTTTAAATATTTTTTTATGAGAAAATAAGCGTTACTATGTCATATTGTCCATATGTCAAGGTGTCCTCATGTGGAGGTCTCAGTGTTTATACCAGTGTGTTGATATTTTTTTCAAATTCTTGCCTTGAATTTAAGTAATTTGTCCTGAAACTTATTTGCAATTTTATCACAAAATGTCCTTAAGTTGATTCAGTGTCCTCATGTCTGGCCTTTTTTATTAATTTTTTGGGGGAAAATAAGCGTAACTATGTCAAATTGTCCACATGTCAAGTTGTCCTCATGTGGGGGTCTCACTGTATATACCAGCGTGTTGATCATTTCTTTTTCTTTTTTTAATTTTTGTCTCATTTTTTTGGGGGGGTGCATGGATGCATGCAGCAAAGTGTTTGGCCTATTCTTTGGACACCTGATGGCGGCTCTGGGAATCGTCCTGCTGGTGTCGGAAAGCGAAGCTTTCCAGTTCTACATGGCCGCCAGGCCCAATCTCATTTGGGCGTCCGTGGCGTCCCCCATCGTCCTCTTGCTCGTCTACCACTACTTCACCGACGCCCGGCGCACGTGTCCCCTCGACTACCTGGCTCTAGCCGTGTTCACTGTGTCTCTGGGCGTGTCTTGCGGCATGATGGCCGCCGTGACTGGCACCGTAGACGCCGGCGTGTGCCTCGGCATCCTGGCCGCCATCTTCCTCGTGCTGGCCACCTACGCCATGTTGGCCAAGTGTGACGTGTCCCTGGTGTCGACTTCCGCCGTGGCAGCAGCCGTGGCTCTGCTGGTCACTGCTCTGGCTGCGGTTTTCAAGCCTGATTTGTTCAAGACCGTCGGGAAAATGGCGGGAGTGGCGTTTGTGGATGCCGTTTTTGTGGTGTATGTGACTGATGCCATGGTGATGCCCGGATACGTCTATGAACTGTGTCCAGAGGAATACGCTTTTGCCACCATGAACATTTATGTGGATGTCATACGGTTCTTTGCTGCTGTTTGGAACACCATGATGGACCCTGGAGTGGATGGGGGCTGTGATGAGGAAAATGCCTGAAATGTTATGTTTCTCTTGTTGTTGTTTTTTTTTTAATGCCTCTTGATGCTTGAATATGTTGTCAAATTGTCATGGTGTAAAGTGTAAATAGCTGAAGTGGATGGGAGCTGAGATGGGAAAATGCCTGAAATGTTGTTTCTCTTGTTGTTTTTTTTATGCCGCTTGATGCATTCAAATACAGTGAGACCCCAAGATGTGGACATGATTGGGGCATCAAGAGTGTCCCCAAAACAAAATGTCCCTGAGTTGAGTCTCATTTTCCCTTACACTTACATTATATAATTTTTAATCGGTGTTTTATGGACAAAATACTCACCATAATTCCATGAAAATGAAAATTGTCTTCCAATTTAAACTGGTTCAATCAATATATTTCAACACAATACTGACATTTGGGGAATTGAATACTCATACCTCTGTACAGTTCATAGAAATGTTGGCATTTTCTGTAAAATTAACATTCAAGTGAAAGAGAGAGAAGGAAGTCCCTCAATGCTGGAGGTAATTTTTTTAATTAGCTAAATGGATGGTAAATTGGTGAGAGAAATGCCCGAGAACTTTTCTTACACCAATTTTAGGGTTTGAAATATCTGTTTCTTGTAATTTGGCCTGAAACTTATTTGCAATTTCATCACAAAATGTCCCAATGTTGAGTCAGTGTCCTCATGTCAGGCCTTATTTATTGATTTTTTTCTGGGAAAATAAGTGTCCCTATGGTGAATTGTCTGCAGATCAAGGCGTCTGCATGTGGGGGTCTCACTCAAATTGTCATGGTGTAAAGTGTAAATAGCGTGCTGTATATCTGCTGAAAAAAACAAGATGTGTAAAAGTGATTTTGGATGGCATGCTTGGGGTGTGCTGCTGAATTGATGGTACAGTTGAATCTTTTCTATGAACTAATTCTTCCAGCTGTCTATATATTATGTGCTTATTCAAACTTCTCAAATGAGCCTCTGGTGAATTCCGTCAGATTGAGACCAAAATGCAATTTGAACCTCCCAAACTCTCAGAGAAATTGTTGCTCTATATAACTTCTGATGATAAATATACTGTGTATAGAGTCAAGTTTTCTTAGGTTCTTTGTGTTATGGGCATAATATTATAGCACTTCTTCCATTACATAGCCAATAATAAATAAACAAATGCAAATGTATCTGCAATTTAGGGATTGTACATGAGGTTTCACTGCTAAGAATAATGAACATGCAAGATTTGTACTGTTAAGGCCATATAATATTTATTCTTGATCATTATAATCAGCTGTGCAAAAGTAGGCCATGTATTCACTGACTCAAAAACACCCAAAGTTGTGTTATTTTTACAGTTGTTCCTTTTAGAATTTGACTTCATAAAGAGGTTCAACTGTGCTAAAAGTTTATGTGGTTTTGATCTGATGACAGAAAATGGATATTTTTCTGAAATAATATCTTGAGAAACATAACTGCTTTAGTTAAGCATAGTTTTGGTTCTGTAAATATATATCTTTGAATAAAGAAACATTCATTATTTTTTTGCAATAGTTTCATGGATAAACTGCCTTCACATCAGGAGGATGGAGTTTTGGGAATGTTTTTTTGCAGGAAGAAAAAGTATCTTTTTATCCCATGTTTTCAGCATAATTTTTATGCAATGAAGTTTTCTTTCAACTGAAGGAATGTATAGGCGTAAAAAGAAATTGGTTCTAAACTTTATTTTTTGCGCAGTTCCATCTGAAGAGTTTGTTGTGAAAAGGGGTGATTAGGTCTTCATTAACTTGTGATTATTTTGTTGAATCATAATCATCCTGTTATTCATGAGGAATGAAGTCAGATCTTTTTCTCCACAAAGATAAGTATTTTTCTTAACTTATTCTCTTTCCAAGAGGCATACCAAAATGCAGAAACTTCAGTATGCTATACCCTGAACACATCAATGTAAAAATCTCAGTGTAATAATTTCACAAGATTGTTCAGTTGAAACAAAAAAGTGGTGTTATAAATCCACATTTATTGTTGCTGAATTTTCATCATATGCATATATATGAAATGTAAGCCCAATCATGGAAACTTTGTTATTACCCCTTGTGCAATGCATTACATTTCTAAGTTCATTTTTTTGGCAAATAACGATTTATATTGTCTAAAGAAATGTTAGATGATCTGTATATTCTGCTTTTCACTGTATCCCTTTTGATCTCATTTTTGGTGAAACTTTTCTGGTGTCTCTCTTGTTCTTTTGAAATGAAATTTCAACTGAATTTAATCATGCTGCATCTCATTCTAGAAGCAGTGAATGGACACAATTTGGCCAAAATGCCATGAAACATGTGGACAATTTCTGAATACACCTCACTTCTGAGGAACATTATTCAGTACTTTATATAGTGCAGTATTTTTACATGTATGCTTCTTTGATGTGTTTTAGCTTATGATTATTTAACACTTCCACTGAAAGAAGGTGGCCAAAGTATAGATGATAGTTTATTTTATCCACAGCATATTGAGAAGATTAATTCTGATTACAGTATCAGATAATATGCATACAACGTATATATAGTGCATAAATTAAAACAGTCCATACATTTTCAAATGGTTTGTATCCTGATGACTTCTTTCTGGAAATTTTTTCAATGAATTTTGGTTTCTTATTTTGGGGATATTGGTCAGAATAAAACATGCTTCTTAATTATAGGGATCTTTTTTCTTACTGTTTTAATCAAGGCAGTTTTCTCCACCTGATCAAGTGAAGTAAGTTCCACAGCAATAAAAACTTAAAACTTGTGAACCAATCAGTTGGCTTGTGCCATATATCTGATTTCCTCACTGATGATATAGAAGGTAGACTCTCTGCAATGCTTTTGTATATATACTGTAGTATGATTTTTTCTGTACAATATATTTCTTTGGTTCCTTCTTTTTGGCTCATGACATACAATAAATATATATCCTGAGTGGGGAAATTGGTGCACACTGGGGATTTTTGTTTGTAATTCTACACAGTGACCCTGCTGTGCACCTGAAGTGTACCAAAGTTCTTCTGTTGCACATGCATATCCCTAATGTGCACCAATTGTGTGTTCACACCAGGATTAATCAGGGTTACATTTGTAAACAAGTAAGCTACACCAAGGTTACAGTTGGTGCATTTGTGTGATACTCCTGTTATGTCACATTTGTGCACCAAGTGTGGCCCTGGAATGGTAGCAAAATTTCCTCTACAGGAGTGCACACTTATTGTAACCCCAGAATATCCCATATGCACTAGTTGTGACCCTGGTGTGCACCTATACTGTGGGGTCACAGCAAAAATAGCTCCCCACTTGGGGATGTTCTCTACAACAAAATAATTGAATGCTTTGCCCCTAAATTTTGTTTTAGAGTAAGTCCATTTTTCCTTCTTTTTTACTGCTGGAGCAAAAAAACGATTGTTTGCAAAATATAATTTCAGATGCTCGTTCAAATTATTTGGAAACCTATTGTGATGGTACAAGCTGTTTTCTGAACACAAATATGATGATGAAAACATTATTTTTTGTAGACAAGAATTTGTTTCAAACAACTTTTTTTGTAATAAGCTGCATTGGCTCATTTCTAAATATGATTAATTGTAGTGAGATTGGTCATACGAATTATTCTCTTAGATTTGTTTGGTCTATTTTTATGCTTAATATTATGTACAGATGTGTACCTCCAAAATTTGACGTCCAATCTGGAATTAAAAAGCTCATCTTCATTGACCTGGCTCCCATAATTTTAAAACGTATTTGTCAGCATTTTAATTTCTAATAAATGCAGAAGTATACTTTTCTCTAATATTTCAATGATAAATGCACCAAATAAGCTATAAAAAAGAGGCCAAATAAACAAAGAAATAACAGATGAGATCCAAAACCCAGATGAAGCAGCAAAAATATCAACTATTTTCTAGTTCAAATTCTCTGCTGCCTCATATGAAAGTTTTATGTGCTGGCTACTAGCAGCAGCTTTTGACAGTACTGCCTCTGAAGGCTGTTCTGTGGGTTCCTTAGTGTCATCAATCTTTGGTCAAAATGATTCACTCTGCGTATTTTTCTTCTGAAAAAGCACAAAATGTCCCTCAAAAGAAATGTGGTGTACTCTGGAATTAAAGAGTATGTTGTAACAATATTTTTTAAACATGTTCCCTGCATAGGATTATACTGCCAGCATTTGGAAAAAAGCTTGTTACACAGCAGTACTAAAAAATGTTTTGCCATAATATTTTTGGAACGAGATTTTACTGTATTCTGCATATATTCCACAAATAAGTTGAAAAACTGAGTTGGAGGCAACAATATGATTGCAATTTATTCTATAAACACAAATGAAACCCTCATTATTCTGTCACCTTTTGACAGCCTAACATATAAATGCAATTGTGTCTTTTGATTGCCATTGTGATTTTTTCTTGATGCAATTGGAATTTGCCTTATTAGTTACACTGTAATATTATTCATATGATGAGTACCATTATGTGCCCTCAAGCATAAAGATCCTCATTTTCCAGCTGCAAAATTAGATATCCTACACACACTTACTTAACCCAGCATGTAAGTAAAATATATAAAGCCTGTAAGTAGAATATTCCTGGCATGTATGATTTTGGAAGAAAATTTTTTTAATTTTGAAACGGGTATATGAATATCTTCGAATCCATAACTTTACAAAGTTCAGAAGTGAGTCATCCAAATGTTTTATCAATAACGGATGATTGTCCCCAATATTAAATTTGGAAATTGACCACTATCAGGAATTTTTTTTAATCCCTTACTATGGAAATTCAAGTTTTAAAACATGGATGAAGACTGATTCTGCGGTGTTTGCCAAATTGTATTATACAGGCATTGTATCTTGTCCAGCAATTATCTTATATGTCTTATGTGAAGTACTGTACCTCAAAAGCTTCTCACTTTTGAGTTGTGATATATCAGACAACAACTTACATTTAACTTTGAATAAGCTCATCTTTGAAACTTGAGACACATTTTCAATCAATAATACTGTATATCTCCCAAGGTATAGGGAAACATTTAGTTCCCAAAAAGACAAGTTCAATTAAATTTTGTTTGATCAATTTTCATATACAATAGTTTAGATAGAACTATAGTGATTGTAAACTAGACATTTTTGAGAAATTTGTAGACGTTCTGTACTACACGTATTCAAAAATGTTTCTGGGATTTGCAAAAATGAATCAACAATTTCAATTTTGTAACTTTAACTTTAAATAAATCTTTGATTTCTTGCACATTTTTGCGATAGATGAGTATGAATAATGAGCTACGGGAGAATACATGCTCCCAATGCCTAGCCTGAACGGAATCTCGTCGAAACACATCATCCATGGTATGCTGCTGACATGCTGAAGATCAGGACTGTAGATGCGTCCGGGTCGAAAGCCGACTTCCTTATTTTCAGGAATACACTGCCTGATCCTACCTTTCGGATTCATGCCATTAGTCGCCATTACATGGAGACCTGAAATGTGGAGCGAGTTCATATCGACTTATCATATTGCCAAGGATGATAGCAAAAACCACGCGAAATAACGAGTAAATTGTATCTTTTGAAGCTTTTAGCTTACTTTAAAAAAATAATTTTGTGTTTTCAAGATGATTAAAAATCAAGCCTGCGAAATTTATGTCGCCATGAGAACGGGAGCGGATAGCTTTTCCTTACGTGCACTCACTCACGCACAACCCCGGCTGACGCGAGTCGATGCTTCAGTCTACTCAGACTCTGCTGAGCAATCGGAGCTCTTTCAGTGGACATCGTTCCCAGAGGGACGGAGCAACCCGGGGAACGTGATCCAAACATTAATTAACATGTGTTCGAACCTGAAGGGTTTAGGGGTACACATTTCCGAATGAAATCGAAGAGTTGACGTCGGAAGAAATTAAGCGAAATTTCCGATTTTCTGTTCGTATTATTCCTCTCTTTCGCCTCTTCGCGGTGTTCCTCTTCAATTATACGAAACAACGTTCCTGTGCTCATTTCATTTTAAAAATGGCTTGCGTCGAAAAGAATGTCCTGTGTTTTTCGATTGTGGGTGGCGTCATCCCATTGCTCACGTGGTTCAGTTTCTGATTCATTGCCTCGTGAGTTGTGCGCTGAATAAACTGGCGAGGTCTCGTGTGAATCTTGATGTATGGTTTTTCCTGGTGTGATTGATATTTCTTTATTCGCCCTGTTCAGTATTCTTGTTCACAAAGAATTAATCGTTGAGTGCTTGTTGATTTGAATTTGATGGCACCCCTTTCTGTTCGCAAGGTGTGGTGATGGCTTCAAATAAATTCATCGAAGATGCCCTAACGAAGCAAGTGAGCGAGTCAGCCGTGAACGCGATCGTGGGATCGTTGGAGAGTCACATCGCAGCCGCCGACGATGCGCGGGCTGTGCCAACGCTGGAAGTGCGACCGACTGTCAATGCAACTAGAGGGAACAGCCCACTTCCCCGCGGCACGATCGTGCAGACCGTGCAAATCCCGCAGAGCAACGTTCAGGCCGTCGTCATGCCGTCTCCGTCTTTCAGAGCCCGTGGCATCACCACAACCGCGGTGCTTCCTGCGGGAACAACCATCCCCGGAACTCAGAACGCGGGTGTCCCGAGAGCCATTGCTCAACTCCCCAGTTCGGCGGTTCTCATTGGAACAAATGCTCAGGTGAGAAGAACCGGGATTCTGTGGACGTGTGGATGGATTTTTTTAGTGTTTATGACCCAATTTCACAACCTCATGACTTCGCGTGCGTTTCAAGGAAACGACCATTTGCGAGTTGTGGCAGGGATTTGAGTTCTGCAAATGACTTCAAGTCGGGAGCTTTCGCAGTGCTCTATCAATTATAACAGTTTTCACGCGATAAACGCTTCAGATATTTCTTACCGGTTACCACGTTGCAAGTGTTCGTAAACGACATTTCCCAAATGCCCTTCGATCACATTTTCATTTGCTTCGGTCCAAGTTAGAACTTCTCCACCATAAGGCGCAAATTTCTTGCTCTTGTTCAGGAATACAATGTTGATGAGCGATTGAGAACCCTTGAATCTGTTTTGTTGAGGTTTAATGGATGTACTGTACATCCAATTCTTGCGTCCTTGACAGTTCTAGAAATTTGTCTGTCGTAATATTTCAGTTCAGATTCATTATTCTAGTTTTGTGTGAGGTGTTCTCTGCAGGTGTTATCGTATAGATATGAAAGGAAAACTGAATTCCATCCTTGATCTTTAGTTAATTTGATTTCTTCCGAAAGCGTCACTAATCTGCGTGAAGACCCCCAAAAAGTACGTATAAATTTTTGCGATGCACGAAAACTGAGTGGCTTTTTGCAAGAACTAGTCATGTTTTCAGGTTCGTTAGGAAGGTAGCGATTGGTTTCCAGTGATTTCTGATGTTCGTTTTCTTCGTTATAGGTTCGATCGTCTCAGCAAACGGTAGTGCAAACATCGGGGGTGCCGATCGCTGGTCCTGCGGGGAACCAGTTCCTCGTCCGAACCGAAGGCGGCTACCAAATCATCCGCCTCGCGGTGTCGCCGGCCACCACAGTCGCCTCATCCCCAGTGGCTATCCCGCAGTACAGATTCAGCCAAAGTCGAAATCCGAATCCGGTCCTTCATCAAACCCCCGTCCAAGTCAGTGCCGGCCAGCAACTCGTGCGACCTTCCCCGAGATCTCCTACGCGAATAGCCATCGTGACTCCGCAACCAGCAGTCAGTGTTCCGCCGCCATTGCTGCAGCATAGAAGCGCCGCCACTGCGGCGGCCACTCGACCAACGGCGGCGAATCCAGTAGTCGTGCAGCAGCAGCAGCAGCAACAACAGTCGGCGTCGTCGCAGTCGTTGCAAATGCCGCCGGAAACAGCCAAAATCAAGTGCAAGAATTTTCTCGCGACTTTGTTGAGATTGGCCAATGAGCAGCCAGACAACGTGGCCAAAAACGTGCGGAATTTGATACAGGGTCTCGTTGACGGGAAAGTGATACCGGAGGACTTCACGTCCAAGCTGCAGCGTGAACTCAACTCATCCCCGCAACCCTGTTTGGTCCCGTTTCTCAAAAAGAGCTTACCCTTTTTAAGACACTCGTTGGCGACCGGGGAGCTTACGATTGACGGCGTTGTAGCACCGCCGTTGTCGTCAATCACTTTGCCTACGGCGGCTGGGACAGCGACGGCGGCGGCGATGACGACTCAGAATTCTACGGCATCGGCGACCCCGAGACCCGGCAGTCGGATAGTACCGCAAAGAATGCCGCCTCCGAGACCACCGGCTCCGCCCGCGACGCAAGTGCAAATGCAAACGCCGAACCGACCTGAAACCTTCAACGCGCAGTACACGGGAGGTTTGAAAATAATTACTCCTACTCCTTTACAAAGTCCTGGGAGTCATTTTGTGAGCGGCGGAGGTGGAGCAACAAGTGTCGGTGGTGGTAGCGGTGGTCATTCCACGACTAGTCCGAGCAAGATGAAGGCCAAGCCGAAGGCGAACGGAGTGCCTAGTCCGGTGCAAAACGTTCGCACGATGCCGTCGACGGGTATGAACGGGATCTCGCCGATGCACCGGCAGAAAGTGTCGCCCGCGACGGCGGCGGCGGGAGCTGGAGCAGCAGCAGCAGGAGGATCCAAGGTGGATCGGAAGGGGGCGGTGAATGCGTCTGGGCCGGTGGCGGCTGTGCGAAGTGACGTGGATGATATCAATGACGTCGCTGCGATGGGAGGTGTGAATTTGTTGGAAGAATCGCAGCGGATTCTGGGCTCGACGGAATTTATTGGGACGCTTGCGCGGTCGTGCTCTGATCAGATGGCGTTGAATGCTGATGCACTGGCCTCGAAAGTGGACGAAGTCTGCAGGTTAGTTCATAATTCTTGATACTGATTTTTTCCTGGTGATTCCTTGGAAGGAAAGTGCAAAAAGTGTTGACAAGTTTTTGGGAAGTGTCCCGTGAGGGAATTTTTTTCGAGTGGCGTTGAATTTTTGGTCGTTCGAGGCTTTTTCGATGTCTGCGTAACTTTGCTATACTGTAAATTTGTAAATATTGTGAAGTTGAACCTCGACAACTACCACTTATGTCAAATACCTCCCTATGTTGATTTTTTTATTGAGTCCCCGTCTGAATTCCCTCACTGTTTTTTATTTCTACTCCGGAGTGTTTTTTGCCGTTTTTTGTTGGTTTTTTTTGGAGAAGCAAATTTATTTTACTCAGTAATAATTTATTTCATAATTTATTGATGTTCTTGAAAATCCGGAGATTATTAGACATTCCACTGCTTCAGGTTAAGATTCGTTGAAGGTGTGTAACGCATGAGCAAAATTTAATACTGTAGCTTCACTGTCGTTCGTGGACGGTTGAAGACTTGATTAATCGTGTTCAATTAATTGATCCCCGCTGATGTCGGGTATAAGCTTTCCATTCGTTGGCTGAAATAGTGCAAATACGTTCTTCTGACTGTGGTATTCATGCACTTTCGCACATTTCGGGTGACGATTTCAACTGAAAGAAATTGTTCCATTGTCGCGAAAAATCGGAACTTGCAAGAAAAAACGTGGTCCATTCAGTGCAACATGTCCCGCGAAAGTGTCGAAATTTCGTGATGCGTCGTGTGTAAACAGTTCACGAGTGGGCCGCTGAAAAGGGGGGATTTATTAGTGTAAATTCGGTCTTCACCCATGAGGGGAATTCGATATCTTCTAGAATAATATCTGCTGTTTTGATACTTCGGTTGTAAGGTTAATTTAATTTATAGGCCGCTTACACTAGAAAATCTGCTTATTCACTTTTAGAACTTGATGTGTTTACTCGTGAGTGACTAGGCTTGGGCTTATTCGGTGTCTTGGTTGAATGTCGAGTAAATTATAGGCCGCACCCCCGGTCTTTGACCCTTTTTTCTTTTCAAGAATGAAATTTTGACCTTTAAATGTTTTGAGAGTGTCGGGAAAGACTTGTTTTTTTTTTTGCATGATGGTTCAACTTCAAACTTCTTATTGAGTGGTTTCATTTGAGTGAATTTCGGTAAAATGACAATACAATTTTTCTTTTCGAAGTTCGTTTGAGGGCCGGGTTTTCTTAGTTTTTTCCTTTTTTTTTACATTTAGTTGCTAATTGTGACGGTTTGATTAATTTTTCAAGTGCTGTTTTGGTTCTCGAATGCTCGAAAATTTTTGGAAGTGATTTGAGTTTGAATAGAATATTCACTTCCAATGATTTCTGGGTGTTTGATGGTGATTTGAAAACAAATTCCGATTGCTATTCTACGTTTCTTCAGGCGACACCTGCCTGTCGTTCCAGAAAGCTCCTTCGAAATTTCAACGAGAAATTATCAAGAAATGAGATGATTTTCCGACGCTAGAGGATTACTCGTGGTGATCTTGTGTGCAATTTTTGAATCCTCTTTATTATAATTTCCGCGTGCAGGAGAAAGGGCCTCGACAGCGGCAGTGTCCAGTCCGACGTGCTCATGCTGCTCTCGCACGCAGCAGAGGAGGTGGTGAAGACGCAGTTGTCCAAGCTGTCCCACGCGGCCCAGCACCGCATGGACATCTTCAAGTTCAATCCCCAATTCGAACAGTGCAACGACGTTCGCGGCCAGATCCGGTTCCTCGAGAACGTGGAGAAGGGCGAAAAGCGCCGCCACGAGGAGCAAGAGCGGGAAATGCTTTTCCGCGCTGTCAAATCCCGAGCCAAGGTCGAGGACCCCGAAAGGGCCAAACTCCGCGAGAAGGCCAAGGAGTTGCAGCGAGCCGAGCAGGAGGAGATTCGGCAGCGAGAGGCGAATTTGACGGCGTTGCAGGCCATTGGGACGAGGAAGAAGGCCAGGACGGACGCCCCGGTGGCCAGTGCGGCGCCGGCCGTGTCGTCCATGATGTTCCGGCCGCGGGTGAAGCGAGTCAACCTCAGGGACCTGGCGTTTATTTGGGAAGGCGACCGGGATCGGTGTCGAGGACGGGACTTGTACAAATTGTTTCTCAAGTGAAAGGAGCAAGTGTGTGTCTCTTCATTGTGATGCCGTTTTGTTTTGTTTTGTTTTTTTGCGAGAATTTCCAGTGTGTCCCGCCCCCTCAAGCAAAAACAACGAAAGGAATGCGAGAAAGGGTCTTTTTGGAACTTTTGACGAGTCCGTCTGTCTGTCTGTCATTGCGAGAGAGACGGTCTGTTCTGTGTTTGTTTTTTTTCGCTGTTCCCCATGGATTTTTGGAAAATCTATCGTATTCTAGTAAAAATTTGAAACATTGGTCCTAGTCGAGAATTGTTCTACCTCTCAAAGCTGATGTATTCAACGCATTTTTATGTATAGGCCGACATGCTGCAAAATGTTTTTTTTCGCTCTTCTTGAATAAATGAGACCAAAAACCTTTTTTTTTCAGTGGGTCCCCGCATAATGAAATGAATTCATTTGCATTAGGAATCTAATCCGGACGAGTTTCGTTTTGCCTATTTCCGTTGTGGAAAAGCGTTTTTTTCTTGAGATAACTTTGTTATCGATTCAATATTGGTTTAATATCTGTGTATTTTTCAGCAGAAAATTATGAATTTAAATATTTAATATTGTTGAGTATGAAATTAAAGTAATCCCAATAACTCTTGCTCATAACTTCCCGAATTTCTCAAATTTTAAATACAAGAAGATGTGTTACTAAAGATTTCTTTCACGTTTTGAAATATTCTCGTTACAGTTCAAAACCTGTTAAAATCTTCGTAATTTTGTGCCGAAAATTTCGTCGTGTGAAATAATTTAGTAATGCGAGTCGTCTTTTTAGCCCCCTAGAGATTTTCTTCTTGCGGATTTTTGTTGTGTGGGTCTTTTATTATGCGGGGACTCAACACACACTTGGGATAATAGCACAGTACCTATCCGATATTTTTTCACGGATTCATTTTGACCTTAATAGACTCAAAAAAGAGGACTTGATGAAAGAACTTCATAAATGGCCGTCTGATTTTGCGACGAAAGAATTTGTCCTGAGGTGAAAACGAAACCAAACCAGTTGTGCTATCCAAGAGTTTGTTTACAAACGAAATCTCATGACTTCAGCGAAATTTCGAAAGACTACTACAGTATAATTTTCTGAATGCATTACTTTACATGCCCCAAAAGCTGGATTGAAGAGTTGGGAGGGGAAATCTGCTTACTGATGCCGCCGTTCGATGCTTTTTTTTTTATTGCTGATGCCTGAAGAAGTCCCCAACATGGACATGATGAATATCTATGAAATTAAATTTAAAAAGGCAATGAATTCCAGTTTTGTCTGGAGTTCTGACGCTGGAACAAAATCTGCCAAGTTTTTGTGCTCTTGTGGTATTTTCGAATCTTGTCTCCAGTGCGGTCTGAGAGGTCCGAAAAATCCAGGGTAAATTAGCAAAAATTCTGGGGAACCGCTGAAAAGAAAATTTTGTTTGAGTTATTTCTGGTAACAGTCTGTCTCTCGAAGGATTGTTGGTACAGTACGTGACTCGCAAAAGTTAAAAAATGGCCCTTTTAGAGAAAAACACACACAAATACATAGTTTTCACGTTTTTATACCGACGTTATGTATCCATGTAACGCTTACTGTTCAAAATGTTTGCTCTTTTCACTCTCTCAGTGTCTTTTCGGGTTGCGTCTCGCTTTGATTTTTTCGGATGTTCTGTATGGTATACGAGTATTTATCACTTTTATATCGGTGCTTTTGCCTTGGTTTTTTTTGTGGGTCTCGAGAACAATGTTTGTGTTTAAGAGACTGGAGTCCAGGAGGTCCTTTTTTTGTGCGGACTTTTATGCAGATATATTTATTTTTAGCGTGATTTTAATCGGGGTGTGGTAGAAGGCAGTTTTTCAGCCCTTTTCTCGTTTTCGTCTGCTCTTTTCTCGCCAATTAAATTCGTGATTCCTGACTGGAAAAAGGAAAGAAAAAATTAATGGGAAAGAAAAGCCTCTTGAAGAATTTATGGGAACAGTTCTGTCAGTGTTTTCCGTGGGATGAAGCCACAATCCGGTGATATTTTTGTTGAGAGTATTGTTTAACGAGTTTGTAAATGGTTTTTTTTTTTGAGGATTTTTATTCAGGTTTGTTTGGACAGCTGAGTGAAATGCGTTCTCTTTTTCAACTGCTGCAGATTTTTTCTTTTTGCATGTGTTCTTGCAAAAGATGGATCCCTTTTTTGTTGACGCGGTGATTTCGCGGATTTTGTTCTTCTGCAGAATTTTCGGGATTTTGGTCGTTGGAATTCAGTGCTTATCAGTGTGCTACTACTCGTGTTACCCCCCGAAACTGAAAAAAAAAGATACTCCGCAGATAAGCCCTAGCACAGTTTCGAACGTAAGTCCTTTTCTATCCCAAAAATGTACCTAGTCAAGAATAATCGAATTTATTTTTTCCTTTTTAAATGACAGTTTAAATGAAAATTGCATAAGGGTTCAAATAATTGGATTTTCGACGAGTCTTTCAGTTGCGAGGAAGTCATGGAAGGTGTGAGGATGGCCCAGAATTTGTTTCGTGCTGAAGAAGCTCACGTTTCCGACCCAAATTGTCGAAATTTTTGACGCATCATCCGTCGGTTTTTGTCGAGTATTTTGAAAGATCTGAATCGAGAAAGTGTTCATATTTAAATTTTGTCGATGACGTGGTACAATTTTTCTGGAGAAACTTCTGGAAACAGCGACAACTGGTGTATTTTCTTGGTGGCTCTGAAAGAAAAGATTTCTGCTTGATCGATTTTAGTTGCCAGTACAGTAATACTCAATTTAAAGGTTTGTTGCGTCAGAAAGAAGAAACTCTGTTGTGAGGGGTTCTACTTCAGTTGTATTTCCGAGATTTTTTCATCATTTTTGGAATTGGGCTCATTGTATTCAATTAAAAATAACGCCTTCTCTGTTTCAACGATGTGGACCTATTTTTACTGGATTACCAGAAGATTTCTGGGTTTCTTCTAAATAAAATCGTGTGTTGAACTTGCGGAAGAATTCGTATCAGGAAAATAAAAAAACGTTGGAAATTGGCGTATCCTTATCAAGTAATCTTGCGTCTCAGTCAAATTTCCTCAATAAGATAAATTCGAAATGACGACCAATTGTGGCACCATCCCATGGGAAGGAAAACCAACGCTGAAGACTGACTCCCATATCTTTGTAGAGAGTAATGGTGTATGTTTCCTTTCGTATTGTGATTTTTTTCTTGGCCTGAAAAAAAATCGAGGGAATCATTCGCCGCGATTTGATGAGAGATGTGGGGGGAAAAAAGAAGAGAAGGAAAGAACGAGAAAAAGCGAGAGTTCGAAAAAATGAAATTTTTTTTTTTCAAAGCTCTGTTTGTGTCGGGGAGAGATCGGCTGTGATCTGAAACTTTTCCCCCTTCATTTTCGTGCCGCCCACCATTTTTTTTTTCAACATGTTTTTTTCTTTTTCGGGCCTTTTACCACAATTGTCAAGGTCCGTTGACCTCGGAACCGTTTTCTTCGTGTGTGAGGCCGAAAATGAGGTGGAAAGAAAACAAGAGAGGAGAAAAAATGAATGTGGTTGCAACACTCGTTGTAGAGAGAGCAATTCGTATCAAAGCTCACTGGTGGAACCCCGTTTTTTTTCTATTTCCATAAATTTCTCGTGTTTCATCATGCCATTGATTGAAAAGGGAAATCTTGATTGATTTTATTTTCGTTTTTCTTCGCAGGCAAGAAAGGAAGCGTTTCTTGGTGTGTGTGTGTGTTTCCCCTCTTCGTTTCAAGCGGAGAAAACAGGCGAACAGTTTTTTGCGAGGTGAGACGTGGAAGTGGACTGTTGTTGAGGCGGCAGGAGGAACAGCGAAATGTTTGCGAACCAGCAACAGGATCCCGCGGCGCCGAAGGACGACACTCCGTGGTACCTGAAATGGGGCGGCAAGGGCGTCGCCACTGTCGCCAGCATCGGTCAGCGGATCCTTAATTATTTCAGATTGACAAAGAAAAGAACTCTTTTTTTTTTTGTGTTTGGACCCGGATTTGAAAGTTTTTCTTTTGCCTGCGAATGTAATGCCCGAATTTTGTGTCATTCTAAGAGTGTATGGACAACTGTGGACAGAAAATGTGACGCTTGGAAAATTCAGAAAAATTTTTTGAGACAAGGACAATTTCAGACTGCAAAAATTATTAACGGGAGGTAATTTTGAGAAGAGGTTCGAGACGCGGATGTTTTGATTATTCAGCGGTTTAAACTGAACATGATTGCTGTACTGTATTACTGTATTCTTAACCTTCACATTTTTTCTTTGCCTTTATTCTTTTCTGAACATTTTTATTTTAGCACCACCTCTGACACAAAATTTTTCAAGATGGATCAAGATTGAACTAAAAGCAAAGAAAATTGGTGTTCTCAAAACTTGCACCCAAAAATCTGTATTTTCTCCATAAAAACCACCTACAATCCCAACTTAACTTACTTATGTTACATTCTGGACCCTCCGCTGCCTCACATTTAAACCCTAGAAAATCTCTTATTATTGCACAGGAAAATTAGACAAAGTGCATTGCAGTACAATAACACGAAGAACATTTTGAATTAATGTACTCCATTTATTTAATATATCAAATTGAAAAATCATATTGGTCTTCAAATATTTCTAATCTTTCTATCTCAAAATTGTTTTGTTTCTGGTACAGTAGTTGTAGATCATATATCGTACACTTTATTATTCTTTAACTGTTTTAAAACATTTTTTATATATGATCGAATATGTTGAAAGAAATTTTGCGCTATATTTTTAATAAGTTTGAAGTTTTTTATTCAATGCCTTGCAAATTTTTTTGCGCAGTAAATTGAAGAGTTGAGTTTGTCATTTTCTTAAATTCTGTCACAACTTTTAGTGTATTAACGTGTTGTCTCAAAAGGTTGGAACTTTTTCGCCTTTTTCTGTTGATTAATCTGTCAAGATTGATTCATTGGTTGCATATTAAAAGAGCGTATCTTTAACCTTGAATTTTCAGTTTGTCGTAGATTAGGTTTTAATGGATAATGTCAAATTAGGCTCAGTGGGTGAGTCGGATAATTGTGTTTGTGTTTTAAGTCTACCCTTGGTGATGTGAGCTGATGTTTTTACATTTTTATGTCTGATATTTATTGACTGGTCTAGGGAGTAATTTATGGAAGTAATTTAATTGTTTTCAATGTAAAAGAAAATTGGATGTCTAATCAAAGGTGTGAATGTTAAAACTCCGTACATTTAAAACAAAGATCTTCAGGATTTACGGAGTGCAGTATTGAAAATTTTGAATTGCGAAGGAACCGTGGGAATTTTAATTGTATCAAGTCAGGTTTTTTCGGACACCTCGTGGAAAATTCGAAACTTTATATATTAAAAGTTCAAAGGTTTATGCAGGCGATGCGAGTAATTTGTTTTTTAACGTTGAAAAATTAAAATGAGTTATGACGGTATTTCCAATCCGAACAATCTGTACGGGAGTAAAACAAGTTTAAAGGGATATTGAATTTAAAGTTTATACTTTTCTATTGAGAGGAAACTCTTTCGATTTGTACTGTTTTCCTTTTTCTGTGTCGATACGGGCTTTTTTCTAGAGTTTTGAATTATCGAAAATACCGCCCGTTTTCCCGTGTCTCATTTTGTCGTTGGATTTTTCCTTTTCAGTCGCGATGATCACTGGTGTCATGGCGGTCATCACCATCTCGCCAACTTGCATCGTTTTTGCAATTTATCAAATGTGAGCAGTTGCTTTTTTTCTTCTCGAAGCCGTTGTTTTATTTTTGTGTGTGTATTTAGTACTGATTTTTATTTTCCTACTCGGTGAAGCTTGGCTGGGTTTTTCATGGCGTTGATTGAGGCGCCGTACTTGTGCTTCTTTGTGGACTTCGTGCAGAAGGTTTCCTCTGTGATGGACGGACGTCCTTCTTGGAACAAAGCAGTGCTGTATATTGCGTGAGTGTCGCGTTCTGTTTTTTCGTTTCCTCTGCCATCTGCCGGGGTTTTTCCGAAATCATGTGTACGAAACATTCTGACGGGGAAATGGGTAATTTGAAGCTACGAGAATAATTGACGGTCCTCAGTGATATTTTCGTTCGGAGAATGGATAATTAAAGTTTGATGAGGAATCTGTAAAAAAGAATTAGCGGTGGAATTGAGAGCACAGATACTTGGATGACATGTTGATGAAGAGGAGATGTAATTATGCTTTCATTTCTGAATTGATGCGGAAAAGTTGTCCCTCACTTTTTTTTTGTGTCCAATTTTGTTTGAAACTTTTGACAGACGTGGAAATCCCCAGAATTTGTTGCGTAGATTTCAAATAGCCTTGAACAGGAAATATTATAAAATCAGGTGCCATCTTAAAAGCTCACGAATTTGAAATCGTCATTTGTGTCAGATTTGAATGCATTTATGTAATTCATTTACGCGAATATAAGTACCTCCGAGACTTTGCATGCTTAAAATTGAAATCAAATCTAACATTTGAATTCCGGTGATCAGAATTTCCGGGAATGCAAAATTTCTGGCTAAATTCAAAGTTTTTCCCAGAAAATAAAAGACTGTGTCACGCAACCCTTGCTCTTCCCTTTCTATCAATGACGTATTCGACTTGAAGTGCTGAAAGCTGATCATTTTTTGATTAACTTTAATTCCAAAAAGAACTGAGGAAAAGAAGTGCTCGGTTGTTCTGAGGGCCGTGAAGAGGAAAATTTTTTGAAATAGACGAATATTCGCGCGAATTTATCAAACATAAACACTCCTACTTTTTGAGCTTCTTAAATTGTGGTGAGACCCCAAGATGTGGACATAAATGGTGCATCAGGAGTGTACCTAAGCCTAGTCTCATTTTCCCATAGACTTACATTATATAATTTTAATTGGTGTTTTATGTACAAAGTACTCACCATAATTCCTAGCAAATGAAAATTGTCTCCCAATTGAAACTGATTCAATCAATATATTTCAACACAATATTGACATTTGAGGAATTGAATGCTGATACCTCTGTACAGTTCATAGAAATGTTGGCATTCTCTGTAAAAAAAAAATTCAAATTGAGAAGAGAGAAGGAAGTCCCTCTATGCTGGAGGTAATTTTTCAAAATCAGCTAAATGGATGGTAAATTGGTGAAAAAAATTGCCAAGATCTTTTCTTACATCAATTTTAGGGTTGGAAATATCTGTTTCTTGTAATTTGGCCTGAAACTTATTTGCTATTTTATCACAAAATGTCCCTAAGGTGAGTCAGTGTCCTCATGTCTGGCCTTTTTAATTAATTTTTGTGGGAAAATAACAGTTTCTATCATATTCTATGTCTAATTGTCTGCATGTAGAGTTGTCTGCATTTGTGGGTCTCACTGTATAGTAATTCAATAGCGTTGAATTAATTTTTTTCAAAAATTAACAAAAATGCTAAAATGATGGTCCCTGAATTATTTTTCTGTCATGCTGCGAAAAAAAATCTCTTTGTATTTTTCTTGGTATAAGATCTCACACTGCCCGGAAAATGTGGAATTACTTTTTGGATTCTTCACGCCAGAAATGTGACGTTTTTTTTTTTTTAGTTTGCAGTTCACTTCTGTACTTTCATAATGGATCTCATATTGCGTTGTATTGATCCACAGAATGTCATTACCACCTGTGATCTTCTGCGGCTCGCTCTCGAATATCCTCGGCTGCGGAATGATTTTCTTCGCTGGCGTTGTTTATGGATTCCTGGCCCTCGGAAAGAAGTGAGTTTATCCAGGAAAAGAGAAGGAAATGTGAATATTCCTGAAAAAGACGGGATAAAAATATGATTCGTGAATATAAGATGAAATATGACGAAAATTGTATCCCTTGCGTTATAATAAATAAATACTGAAGACGAAATGAGGCAAACAATTTATGCATAAAACAAGTAAAGTACTGTATCATCCTCTCTTGATTTGTTTTTTGGTAAATGCAGTTTTGTTTGAAATAGTGGAACATTTTGAGGTGAAATTTGCAGTAATTATGAAATTGAATGTCTCTGAAGTCAAGCAAAAAATGAAGTTGTGAAAATTTGTTGTATTTCACGGCCCAGAAGAAAATTTGGACTTTCGTGAATATGCAGAGAAATGAGATGTTTTGCGAAATAATTGAAAAAGAATTGGCGTACGGTATTGAATTACAGCTGAAACTCTCGAAGTCGAATTTCGAGGGACCACCGAAAACAATTCGACTTGGAGAGGTTTTGATTTATATAGAATTGTACATATTTTATGTATAGAATCAAGCATTTTTATTTTTGGAAACATTGAAGAATTTCACTAAATTGTACATTGTGATACTCTGGGCCTCAAGTTGCTTATAAAATGATTTGACAGGGCCCTCAACTTGGAGACAGGGGCTCATTTGCCAAATTTAGTCTGTCACATCTGTCAAAGCACTTCAAATTCCAATTATTTTGTATTGTTTTTTCTGTCCTGTTCCAATAAAATAGCAGCCTGAAGTCCTCAAAAATATGTAGGGAGGTTTTAGAGGAAAAGTCTTTGAGTGGGAGGTTTTTAATGCATTATTTCTGAGGGAATTCAGAGGGGGACTCAAAAACATTTGACTGATGGAGGTACAGTGAGACCCCAAGTTGTGGATGTAATTGGTGCATCAAGAGTGTCCTTATGTCAAAATGTCCCTAAGTTGAGTCTCATTTTCCCTTAGACTTACATTATATAATTTTAATTGGTGTCTTATGTACAAAATACCATAATTCTATGAAATTAAAATTTGTCTTCGAATTTGAAACTGATTCAATCAATAAATTCCAACACAATATGGACATTTGGGGAATTGAATACTGATACCTCTGTACAGTACATAGAAATGTTGGCATTCTCTGTAAAAAAAAAAAAAAAAGTAACATTCAAGTGAAAAAGAAAGAAGGAAGTCCCTCTATGCTGGTGGTAATTTTTTTTTAATCAGCTAAATGGATGGTAAATTGTTGAGAGAAATGCCCAAGAACTTTTCTTACATCAATTTTAGAGTTGGAAATATCTGTTTCTTCTAATTTGGCCTGAAAATGATTTGCAATTTTATCACAAAATGTCCCTACATTATTTGTGAATGGTTGATGATCAAAGCAACCGCGTTAGTCGTATTTGACCAAAAATAAAAGGGACGTTTCGCCGAAAATTCGATCATGAGTAATTGAATTGATCCTCGTATGCTCTTTGAAAATTCAAACAACGTTGAAATTTCCGATCGTTACTTTTTTCCCGTCGTGGCAAAAGAAAAAAAACTACAGGGAGGGAAGAAATTTGAGATCCACGTTTGTTTCTCGAAAGTTCTCTTGATTTCGCGAATCGTAATAATCTTCGCTGACCCACTGTCTGCTCTCTCTTTTTTGTCTTCTTCTTCATTCATCCTGGGGACCATGAAATGAAAAAAAAGGGGTTCCCGAGAAGACATGATGGCGGCTGCAGCGGCGAACCAGCAAAAAAGCCCGGGGATCGAGGATCAAGATGCCTGGGGACCCTAGTCTGGTTGCAGCCCATTCCCCCGTCTTCTTCTCCGTCACCCAAGCATTCCGTGCTTTTTATTTTATTTTTTTGGTTTCCCCCCGGACGAAGACTCAATCGCGGGGTTCGTGTTATTTCGCCGTTCTGTTTTCGGTGTTTTGCTGAGTTTTATTTTCCGTTCATTCCGTCCCTCTTCCTCCTCCTCCTTAGTCTTGGAGGGGTGTTGAGGGGGATTCAGAAAATCCTGGCGTTGAATTGGACGTGTTGCACGTGTTCTTTTTTTTTGCTACTCGGCTTGCGGAGAGTCAGTTTCAGCTGCGAGACGCTAGATGTTTTATTTTATTTTTTTGTGTTGTGTTTTTTCCGGCAGCGCCAAAATGAAGTTTCCGAGTGTGTAAAACGAGTTGGAAAGCGAAAGTTCCTGGGAAAACAAAAATGTAGTGGAAGTGAATCTTCCAAAGATGCAGTTGCGACTGGATAGACGTCTACTCTTTTGAAGACCTGCATGAGAGGCTTTCGGGAAAGGAAGAAAAAAAAATTTAATGAAAGGAAAGTCGGAATTCGGATGACCTGTCTCAGGTTGTGGTTGCAATTTAACTGAGCAGAATGGGAGTGACATCTGTGTGCTGGCAAAGTAGAAATTTGTTAACGTTAAACTCAAATAGGATTCGTCATTCTCACGATTTAGCCGTAGGAATTAATGGAAAGAGGATGGGAATAACCTTGATATCGGAATTCTCAGTACGATTTTCTGTGTCCGTATCTCGAGGAAATGTCCTGATGTCGGGACAGATTCGTTTCAGTGTTCCTAACCCGAAGATACTGTATTTCAACGTGTCTTGCATTCTTCGAGAAATGCAGGGATTTGTTCTTATTCAACGTATTTCTGTGTCGTAATTGTCGGTGCAGCAACTTCAAGAAAAATCATTCCAGTCATTTCCGGGAACTTTCGCTTTCTTGCAACTTTTTGGGGCAGTTTTGATCTGTGTTAATTCTTTCTCACACAAAAAAAAACACACCAGACGGTGAGGGTTTCGGAAGTCGTGGCGGCGTTCAACAGGAACAATTGAAAGCTCTGTTTAGAGTGAGGGGATTCGTAATTGTCTCACGGTTGTTTGCATGCATGGAAAAAAAAAAGAATATGACGAGAACATTTTGTTGCTAGAAGGAAGAAAAAAAAATGTATCATCGGGCCGACGTTATTTTAATCTCGCTGCGCGACCAAAAAAAAATGGAAACGAAGAATACGAAGAAAGGTAGGGGGGTGGAGCCAAGTGTTGTTGTTGTGAAGGGAACTGATGTTTATTTCTTGGATTTTACCCTAGAAACCCTGGGTTTGTGAGCCTAAGTTGTCTGTGATTTTCTTGTTTCATACACTATAGCCCTGGAAATTTTTTTTTTTCATCAGTAAACGATTAGTATGTTACTGCAAGATCCTTTCTTGTTTACTTCGAAATTTCCCAGAGTTATTATGTGTTTGCTGCTTTTTTTACGAAAAAAGAAAGCATTTATGTCATTTTGCTGCTACAAAAATGGATGCGGAAAAAGGGTTAATTTAATAGCAGTGGAAAGTGTTGTAAAGTTTAACATGCTCATTGATTGGCTGAGTGACTTTTGAGTCTCTTCAACACCAACCTTTGAGTTATGAGTTCTACTGTACATTTCTTGGATGTTACATGTGCTGCTTCAATCTTATTGCATTATGCTGAAGGTCAGAATTTTTCAGTCAGTTGTATAGGTCAAAATGCAGAAAACCCAAAATTGTTTGCCTGTAAATTAGAATGTTTGATTAATTTCAACGCTTGAATCTATGGTTTGAATTTCTTCCAAAATTTGGTGAATAAAGATGGTACTTGGCAACAAATGTTTGAAATCTGAATCCCCTTGAAGAAATCATGACCCAGGGTTTTGACTCTTGTTCCTGTTCCATTGGCAACTCTTGATACTTGTGTGAGGAATAGTTCTGCTCTGTGTTGTCTGGGGTTGAAACTCTGCTGTCAAAAGTATACAGAGTGCTGTTGAGAAAGCCATTTTAGTTGCATCCATTGATGGGAAATATCTTCCAATGATTGTCTTCTGGGGGATTTCCACCCCTCTACCTTTCTTCCTTCTGTTTCGTGTATCATGGATGTGTTACAAGCTGGTGCAGAAATGGGAAGGCGTCAAGAATTCCTGCAGTTAATTTTTTTTTAATTTGAACCTGGAAAAAGAGAATCTGAACCAGGGAAAACTTGTGTTTGTCATTTTGTTGAAAGAAGTGTGGATTAAATCGGATCAAGTTTTCCTCTCAAGTTATTGCATATGTCATGCCCATGATTGTCTTCAATGCTTTCATTTGGTTTCTGAGGGTGAGAGATGACATCTGAGTGATGTTCTTCTTCGTGATTTCGGTAAGGATTCGTTAGGTGTCGCTCCATCATCCGTCGGAAGGAATTTGTTCAGTGTGTTGTCTCAAATTTTCATTTCAAGTGGGACAGATGAGAATTCTTTTTTGCTGCGATTCAGAGAACCGAAGTAATCCAAGCATACTCTGTAATGAATTCATAGGGATCTGCTTGAGTATTCATGACTTGTGACAATATACCTAGTCACTGCATGAAGAAAGACCTGCTGAAGGACACTTGAATTCGGTGTGTGTGAGTAAAGCTCAGTTTTTGCGATGGAGAAAGTGATTTTTCCTGGCTCTGTTGAACATTTACAGCGTTTCCATGGACGTGATTCCCGTTTTTCCCCTTTACAGAGCTTGAGAAGAGGAGCGGATATGATGGGATCCCCCTGCCTATGTAGGACTTCCCACTCCCAGTGCCTATATCTGATATCCCTCCCTTGCGGAGTAACAAGCATGGCGCGCTGGATTCACGCGCCAGGCGCTATTCCACGTCATCGTCTTACCATGTCCCATGACCTCCTGCTAGGTTATTTCGTTGTCATGACCCGGAAGCCGTGTTTAGTTTCATTCGGATTTCGAGCAGTTTTTCAGGTGTTTGCCACTTGGCGAGCAATTATTGAACAGGTCTCCCGGAAGTATAGTTGAATGAAGGAGTTGAGTGATGATCTCAAGGTGCGGTTCATCGATGCGTTGGTATGGGAGCTCCATCTCCGGAGGGGGGTTTGAATGTACAGCACAGTAACTCCCTGGAGCTGGATGGTCCTGGCTTTGCGTTAACGGTGACTGGCGCAGCAGCCAACAACTTGAACGCAGTGTCGATGCCCTTACACGTATATATTCGTACACTAGGCGAGCTCTGCAGATTCCCTCATCGCGACCCCGTCTGCGAAATATACCATAGATCTTTTAGCACTTTTGGGGTCGCATTATGTACCCCTGGTTGCGTTTTATATAGTGAAAAAGTGAGTGCTTATATATATGTACAGTATATCGATGCTGTGTTCGGATTCGGAAAGGTTGCTATATGTATGGGCTCCCCGCGCAACCGACTGTCGACATTTCTTTCGGCTTTTTTGCGGCCGTGGGATCTGCTTCCTGCGAGATTTTCGGTGGTTACTGCGCTAGAACTCTCTGCGTGGAAGTTTTGCGGAGAGATCGTGTGTCATTCGAAGTTCTGTAGTGTGACGGAAAGGTGTCCTTTGCACGCTACGCGAAGATTCGTGGTGTGTATATCCGGGTTTCACGTCACTATCACGTATGTAATGGACTTTCTGGTTGCTTGTGGGTCGAAGATTCGATCCGTGATTCGAGAATTTTGAAGATTCGGAGGAAATGCTCATAATCGCGTTGCATCAAACGCGGCAGGGATGTTGACTGGAGTCGCTTAAATGTAGTTGATGGCATGTCTCTGTTGTATTGATGAGTGATCAATGAGTGTGAATCGTGGATAAAGCCTGTTGGTTCAAAGGATAACTGTATATAGTGACGAATGAACGTTTCTAAGTGAAATCTTTCTTCACGGCGGCATAAGGTTTGTGAGTTCCACTGGTGTGTAACGGTTATATAACGAATGTATGTTGACGTAGAAGGGAACACTAGGAAACTGTGAGATTTGCGTGCGTACAAGCTATTGTGACGAATGATAAACTGGCTTGAATGTGGACATCATCCAGTATATATTGCATTTCCGTGGAGAGGAGATGCATACATAAGAGCTTGGTTGCATGATGGAATGAAATGTGTTTATATGCTCTGGACTTGCTGCTATGTGTTTCGTTCAGCTATGAGAGTGTTTGTTTCTTGCGACAATAACAGTCACATTCCATTATTATAGAAGTACAGTATTCCTAAGTGTTCATCTGCATGCGTGCAATATGTTGACGTGCTGAATGCAACAAGTCAAGATTTCAATTGCGACGTCCGGAAGCGGAGGCAAAGAAAATGTTGTGACAATATGAACTTCAAAGCTTACGGTTCTTTGCATTGAGTTGCGCCTGTTCTATGAAATTCGCAGAGATGGAAGCCACAAGAGTATTGCATAATGAAGTCTCAGCTTTTCCGCTTCGGGTCTTTCGAATATATGTTCCATGGTAAATGTTAATGACAGTTCTCAAGAGTTCAAAGAGCACAGAGGTCTTCGTGTTGAATATGCATTGTTGTGGTGAAACATCGTTTTCAAAGCACACAGCGCTTTATGCCTTGTAATCTGCAAGAATTCTAGAAAATAACGAGGGTTTTTTACAATATCAAGGGAGGTGTGATTGTTGTTTTTTTTTCGAATTTCCAACGACACAGGTTTCAAAATCTCGCTTTAGTTGACCGATTGTGTGAGCTGTAAGTACGAATATTGACGTACAGTATTTGTAGTAAGCACCTCATCGTCAGCTAGAGTAAGACAACCTTTCCGCGAGAAATATTTCTTGAAATGGTGCCGATTAAATGCGCGGCGAACCGCAAAAGAGGTGCTGTTCATATATGCGACCGAACATCCATATTTTTCTATCCAGTATTTCCCGCATATATTGGGTTGCTGACCTCGATTACCTTTGGGAAGGCTCCAAGATTCTTTCCCTCGATTATCAAAAAACGTTTTATTATCCACACAGATTGATCAGCTGTTTAATTCATGTGTTGTTCAGCATCGAATACTCTTCAAGTTTTTTTTGTGAGAACAGGAAGAACTATGAAATGATGCAAGTACAGTTGAGGTCGAATTTCGACAGACCAACAAAAAAAATTTGATGTGAGGGAAGTTTCTGGTTTGGAAAACTTACCGTTTTTGCCTTTCAAACAAAAGAATATTTTGAGAAAGTTTTAGTTTGTGATTTTTTAAAGTCCAAAATAGCCTTTTATGTAGAATTTGACAGGATGCTGAACTTGAAAGAAGGAGTTCATCTGTCTAATTATTATTCCACTTCCTTTCAAAAAGCTTAAATTTAAATTTGTATGGCTTTTCTCTTTCCTTGGTTGCAAAAATAATAGCCAAAATGCCCCCAGAAAATTCATGTTTTTGAAGTTTTGAGTTGGAAAATCTTTGAATTTGATAGATTTTAATGCATTGTTTCAAAGGGAAACAAGACAAGGCTAAATTGGCATGGGAAGGTATTCAACTTAAGGAGGGTTGAGTTATTGAGATTCAGTTGTATTTCAGTGAGTACATTATAATGGGATACTGACATAATGATGCAGCAATATGCAGACAATCTAATTTTAGAACACTTTATATTCAAAAAATCCCCCCAACATTTGAACCTTTTCTGAAGAAGTGGACAATTTTATTAAATTTTCTGGATAAGCAAGAAATGTACTTTTCAAAATTTTTTTGTTGAAAAATTGAGCTACTGCCATGAACAAGAAATCCAAATAAATTTCAAAATAAGTGCACTCAGTTTTATTTTCCCAGCAATTTTTATTGTTTTTGTTTTCCTTTTTAAATTGATTCGCAAGTGTGTAACAATACAGAAGTAATGCTTGGTTTCAGGTCAAGAAGTTCTTTATCAATTTTGAGTTAAAAAGTATGAAATGTTTAATCTCTTCCTGGTTCATTATAACCTGTTTCTTGAATTGATTTTTGACTTTAAAAAAGGGGGTCATAGAATAAGTAAATTAACCTGTTCCAGTGCTGTATTAGTTTTGCTATGCAAAAAACTAATTCCAGAAGAAACTAATTTATGTTGTTTTGTGTGAAGCATATCATCTCTTGCAAGTCATCATTTAAAATATGATCATCATCAGTTTAATCTGTTGCAGGCACACACACACACTGTGCTGTGCATTTCAGCAAATTATTTATACTCCAATTAATAATGTATGAAGTGTATCAGTAGAAAATTAAAGCAATCTTTCAACTATTACATCTGAAATTAAATTGTGGGGTTAATTGAAGGAAAGACAAATCTTCACCTTTTCTTGGTTTATTTTACTAATTTAAAAAATCCAGAGTTGGAAAAATTGAAACCCAAAGCTTTTTCCAAATTTGTGTGTGTGTTTTTTTGCAATCTAATAAATAATGTAAAAAATGCATTAGTAGAAAATTAAAGCAATCTTTCAATTTTTACATCTCAAATTAAATCTTGGGGTTAATTGAAGGAAATACAAATCTCCACCTTTCCTTGGTTTATTTTACTAATTGTAAAAAATCCAGAGTTGGAAAAATTGAAACCCAAAGCTTTTTCCAAATTTGTGTGTGTGTGTTTTTTTTTGCAGGAAAATTTTGCTATGCCGGAAAAAATTAATTTCAGCAAGTCACTTTATCCTTTTGCAGAAATCGCGACTTGTGGAATTTTGTTACTGTAATCATCTGCTCAAAACCCAAACAAGGATATTTTCCACTGGAGAAATTATGCTGATTGCCTTGTTTTCCACTTCACTTCCCAATCGATTTCAATAATTATTATTTTTTTTTCAAACAGTGGATTATCCGAAGCATGAAGGGGGTCATAACCTCGAGTCCATTATGCGAGGCCCTCGTTATCCAGGGTTGCTGAACTTTTCGGCGATTCAATCGTATATGTGTAGTGAAAGATGTGAATGAGAGAAAGGTTTACTGATGTATGGAAGCAGATTGCGGAGTATGTGAAAGGACTCGTTATATTCTCCATCATTTCCCCTCGGGTCTTTGGGGAAAACCTTAGATATAGTGCTTCAAATCTCAGCCAGATCATCTTTCATCGGCGGCGGACATCTTGAAAGATCTTTTGCTGAACTGTTTCGCAGGACGAAAAGAAGAAGAAGAAGAAGAAGAAAAAAAAAGCGTGCTGCAGAGGAAGACGAGCTGTTTTTTTTTCTTTTGTGCTTTACTATATACCGTATACAAGTGTATATATATATATATATGTGTGTGTGTGTGTGTGTAAGGTGGTCCAGTGACGAAATGTGAGAGGATACTCGGAACATGAGGACGAGAGTGTTGGAAAACCGGTTC